CTCAAGCAGACTTTGTGCTGAGTGTGGAGCCCCGCATGGAACTTGATCCCACGATCCTGAGACCATGACCTGAGCTGAAATTAAGAGTCAGCACTTCAAGTCCCTGCTTGAAATTCCTTTGGGCCTAAAACTACAAGTGTAATTGCTGGGTCATATGGTAATTCTGTTTAGCTTTTTGGGGAAATACCAAACTTTTCCATAACAGCTACACCATTTTACATTATCAATAACAGCACACAAGGGTTTCAATTTCTTCATGTCCTTGTCAACAGCCACTATAGAAGATTGTGGAAAGGTTCCTGAACTTGAGTTGAAAAAAGTCAAGTACCATTTCTGGTTTTTTCTTTTTACTCCACTCCCTTCCCAGCTTTGCTTTTTAATCAAATTTTTATTTTGGAACAACTTTAGATTTACAGAAAAGTTGGAAATATAGTTGTCTTAGTCTGTTCAAACTGCTATAACAAAATACCACAGACTGGGAGACTGGGTGGCTTATAAACAACAGAAACTTATTTCTCACGCTTCTGGAGGCGGAAAGCCCAAGATCGGGGTGCTGACATGACATCGCTAGGTTCCGGTGAGGACCCTTTCTAGAGTTGCAGACTGCAGCCTTCCTGCTCTGTTCTCACGTGGTGCAGGAGGTGAACTAGCTCCCGGGGGCCTCTTTAACAAGGTCATTCATGTCATTCATGAGAGCTCCACCCTCATAACCAGTCACCTCCCAAAGGCCCTACCTCCTTATACCATCACATTGACCACAAGTTTTCAACTTGAGTTTTGGAGGGACCCAAACATTCAGGCCATAGCAATAGAACTGAGAGTTCCCAAATGCCCTTCACCCAGCATCCTTCAGTGTTCACATAGCCATGGTACATTTGTCAAAACTAAGCAGTTAAGATTGGTACAATACTAACTAACTAACTCATAGACTTTATTCAGGTTTCACCTCATTTCCACCAAGGTCCTTTTCCTGTCCCAGACTCCAATCCAGAATACCACACTGCGGGTAGCAGCTCTGCTTTGTATTCGCTGAGACACTTCCGCCACTTTCCTCTCTAATCCTCAGCTGTCGCTCATGTCCAGAGGGAACAATCTGAGTGCAACCTCCACCTCACGGGGTGCAGTGAGGATTGAAGGGGGTGGAAGAGGGGAGAGCGTTTTGTGAGCTGTAAAGCTTCAGGCCAATGTAAAGGACTGTTACTGAAGCCCGCGGTGGCCTCTCTTCACCACTGGCCTGCCACTAGGGGGCCTCTTGCTGACAAGGCTGCCATTGGCTTCGGAAGGAGGCCTTCCTACCAGGCCTCCCCTGGCCGGGGTACTCCTGGTGCTCCAGGCCCTGTAGGCTGATTGAGGGGAGGACCTCGCCTCATTCATTGATTGACCAAGGGCTTTGGCAGACCCTCCTCCCAGTGCTTCCTGTCTGTTTGCAAAGCTCCTCTGGGTGCTGCCAGCTTTAAGCTTAGGGGTGGAGGAGGCTGGAGGTTACAGACTCCGCTCTCTCCTGGGCATTTGAAATGCCCAGCGTAGGGCCAGCAGGCCACAGAGCACCCTGCATTGGCTCAGCTGCTTATCGATTCTCTCCTGGTTGGGGGAGGGGAGTGGGGGTGGGTTGGGGGTGCAGGGGTGAAGTGCTGAGTCTATTTTGGGAGGTTGCAGGTGTCTAGCTTGGCATGCCCTCTCCACACTTGGCCCCCTCTGGCATTTCCTAGAAGGATTTCCATCCTCCCACAGCCACTCTCTCCCACCCTCCTTCCTGCTTAGTGCTTATAGTTGACTAGTGGCCCCAAAAGACGTGTCTCAGTCCTAACCCCTGGTACCTGTGAATGTGACATTATTTGGAAATAGGGTCTTTGCAGTTGTAACTAAGTTAAGGATCTTATGATGAGATCATCCTGGATTTAGGGTAGGCCCTAAAGCCAATGACAAGTGTTCTTCTAAAGGACAGAGAAGGAGAAGACACCAAGAAGAAGGCACATGAAGATGGAGGCAGAGGGTGGAGTCCTGCTGCCACAAACCAATTGACACCAAGGGCTGCCAGTAGCCACCAGAACCTACAAGTGAGGCATGGGACCGATTCCCCCTCAGAGCCTCCAGAAGGAATCAGCCTGTTAACACCGTGATTTTGGACGTCTGGCCTTGTCTTAGCTCATGCTGCCATAACCAGATACCACAGAGTGGGTGGCTTAACCGACAGAAATGTATTTTCCCACAGTCCTGGAGGCTGGAAATCCGAGGTCAGGATGCCAGCATGGGTGGGCTTTGGTGAGGGCCCTCTTCCTGACTTGCGGACAGCCGCCTTCACTCTGGGGCCCTCACGGGGCAGCAAGTGGGAGAGAGAGTGTGTTTCTTCTTCAAAAGCACTAATCCCACTGTGAGGATCCTACTCTCATGACCTCATCTAAGCCTAAATTTCCCAAAGCCCTATCTTCAAATACCATCACATGGAGGGGGGGGGGGCGGGGGAGGTAGGGCTTCACTGTACAAATTTTGGGGGGATGCAGTTCAGTCCACAGCAGGCCTCCAGGGCTGGGAGAGAATGAATTTCTGTTCTAAACCACCGAGCTTGTGGCACTTGGTTATGCAGCCTTGGGACACTGAGACAGTGTCCCACTTCTGTAGGCCCCCTCCTCCCAGAGACCACCAATGCAAAAGAAGACTTAGGGGCTGCGGTTGGGGGGGTCACGGCCAGGGCACCGGCTTGCAGAGGCTGTGGGTGTGCATGAATGGCGTGACAGTGACCTGGGCTCACGGGGTCCAGACCCAGTGACCCTGGGAGGACCAGCACTGGGCAGAGGCGGGCCGGGGCTGTTGTGGGCACCCCTCATCTTCAGCTACCACCCCTGAAGATGGGGCCCCGGCACGACACTTGGAAGTGATTCATCAGCACGAGCCCTTCCTGGATCTGCTGCTAGGCTTTGTGGCTGGCACTGAGGACCTGGGCCCACAGAACAAGCTGGGCCAGACACCCCGGCAGCTAGCAGCCAGCCTGTGGAGGGGTCCACACTGCAGAAGGGTGTGGCACACACTGGGTTGTTGCTCCTGGCCTGCTGCAGGCATGGCTCCAGTCCCCACTGGCTGCCCCAAGGAGCCCCTGACCCCTACCTAGCTCAGGGCCCAAAACACATCCCCAACATCGACCCAAGAACCAGCTTAGAGAAGTTGGAGGAAAGTGAGGAGGACCAGAAGCTACAGTTGCAGGCTGAAAATGACAAGGACCACGGCCCACTCCATGTGGCCGCCATCCTCGAAGAGGCAGACCTGGTCTGGCTCCTCCAGGAGGCCCAAGCTGACCTCAACAGACCGGAGCCCACAGGCAGCCTGCACTTGGCTGACTTGCTAGAGTTTCTCCCGGGGGGCAGGCTCGGACCCTGCTGACCCCTCTCTGTGGCTGCACCCCACTAGGCATCCCCGGGCTCCAGCCCCACCCCATCCCTGCTTACCTCTGCACACGCGGAGCCCCAGAGCCCAAGGATGAGGACGACAGCCCAGCTCCTGCAGCGGCAGTGGTGACGGCGACAGTGAGGACGAGGGCATGAGTCGGGGGAAAGACCGATCAGCCCGGCTTGGGGGTGAGGGTAAATCAGCAGGCAGCAAAGGGGAGAAGAGCTGTGAGGGAGAGTGTTGAGACCCTCCTTGGGCTGCAGTCAGGACAGACCCAGGCAGGGGCGGTGGGAATGAATTAAGGCACTGGCAGAGGTCGGACCCAGGCAGAGGTGCAGAAGAGACCATGGCTGGGGTAACTGGTAAACCCAGGCAGTGGTGGGTGGCAGCATGGGGCGATTTGCGGGGGAAGAGTTGGAGAACTCGGGCTGTAGGAACAAAACCTCGGGCAGCAGTGATTGGAACATGGGTGGTATTGGGGAAAGCCCTTAACCAGTAGCAAGGAGGCTTACTTGGAAAACCCAAAGGCGTTACGGGGTAGGGCCTGGGGGATTTGGGTAGAGGCGGAGGGTGTGGTGGGAGAGACCTCAAGCGGCTACGGTGGCTCAAGAATCAATGTGGGGCTAGAACTCAAGCAGCAGCTATGGGAGAGATGACCTTGAACATGGTGGTTTGAGAACCAGGAGCGGGGAACTCAGGCTTGAAGACAGGACCCGGTTCTTAGAGTGGGGTGAAATCAGTTGGGCAGCAGGCAAGGAGGCCGCTGCCTGAGCCCCTCTGCCTGACCCTCTACCCCCCAGGAGGAATACAGCAGCACTGTGGTCCCTAGTGATGGGGGCCAACACTGCTACCTCCCACCCAGCCTCAAAAATCTCTCCCTGATGACCCCATCTGATTTGTTTAAATGTTAATATAATTTCTGATTTTAAAAAAACCTCCCAGTTCTGACAACCAAGGGTAGAAAAAGAGAAGACTTAGCTGAGCTCTGAACAGTTTCTGCTGCTGGTTTCAGTCTGTAAATGCACGTACCTGCCTGTGTTCCAGTTGCAGGATGCTCCTTACTTCCCAGGAAGTCCTCCTGCTATGCAGACACGCTCATCCACAGAGCTACAAGCAGGCCGGGACCTCAGCAAAAGCCTCCCCGGGGGGAGACAGATCCCAGCACCCCCTGCCTCCCCTCCCATTGCGTCAGTGGTCTTCTGGAGACCAGCCCAAACTAAGGGAGGAGAGTCCAAAGGTGAAAGCCTTTGATGTGGTGACAGACTGATGGGATCGATATTTAGGGGCTGATGGAACTACACGCCGTAGCACTGTGGTGTCCACTCAGGCTGGCTCTCCTGGCCAGGAGGGAATGTGCCTGAGGGCCTTGCTTTGCGGGGAGAGGGGTTATTTGGTGTGACGGACATAGCACAAGAGCGGAGTGAGGTCTGGTGTGTCACCAAATCGCTCTGTGACCTGAGGGAGGTTACTTCTGTAAGCCTCTGTGTCCTGAGAATGGAAGTGACTTTTCAGGTCCTTCTCTGAATCAACAGTCAGTCCTGGGAGACTAGGCCAGATTAGGCAAGTAGCAGATTCTTTTTTGTACATCTAATTGTGGTAAAATATATATAACATGACAGTTACAGTTTTACCATTGTTTTCATTCTTTATTTTAATTGTGGTAAAATATGCATAAAATTTAACATCGTGACCATTTTTAAGTGTACAATTCAGTGGCATTAAGTACATTCACAACGTTGTACAACCATCACCACTGTCCATTCCAGAACTTTGCCATCCTCCCAATCTGAAATTCTACCCATTGAGCAATAACTCACCCCTCCCTCTAAACCCTGGCAATCTCTATTCTACTTTTTCTATGAATTTGCCTCTTCTGGGTACCTCATATAAGTGGAATCACAAGATTTGTCCTTTTGTGTCTAGCTTATTTCACCAAGTATGCTTTCAAGGTTGATCCATATTGTAACATACATCAGAATTCCTCTTTAAGGCTGAATAATATTCCATTGTATGTATATACTGCTTTTCTACTGCTGGACACTTGAGCTGTTTTCACCTTTTGGGATTGTGATTTCACGCTCTGTGAACATTGGCATACACATGTCTGTTCACGTCCCTGCTTTCACTTTTGGGTATATACCTAGGAGTAGAATTACTGGATCCTATGAAAATTCTATGTTTAATTTTTTGAGGAACCACCAAACTGTTTTCCCTTGAGTTTACTCTAAAATGAAAGCACTCTGTCCTGCCATGGGTGTGTGCTCGAGAATTCCATGGAGAGGTAGCTCGAAACCACCTGGGATCGGAGAGGCCACCCAGAGCCCAGGGCTGCCCACTTTCTACTTCTGGAGTGAATTACATTGTGGCTGGAAAGTGGCTATGAAGAAACATCCTTTTCTCTCCTGTTCACTTGTCTGGAATTTTAAGAATGGTGGTGGTATGTGCATACATGTCTGATTTCATTGATAGAACAAAAACCCCAAGCAGGACTGGATGAGGACTGGGGGAAAGGGCAGGAGGTTTAATTGGGAAGGGCAGAAAGGTGGTTGACACTAAGACCGAAGCTCTCCAAACCCTGAGCAGAGTTACAGGATGGCCTAGATCAGGTGAGCAGGGGCCAGGGGAGCAAGTAAGCAGATGAACTGACCCAGCCCTGCGCTGCTTTGAATCCACATTTGGTCTGGGTTCAACTCTCAGTTCTTGTCCTTGCTAGTTTGGGCAATGAACTTAGGCTTCTCAAGTTCGGCTTTCTCATTTGTAAAATTAGGGACATTATGAAAGTCAGGAGGATGGAATAAAACCACATTCCTGAGACAATTCCCACAGTGCCTGGCCCTCACACTCGGTATAGCTCAGGAAGCTAGCTGGCTGTGTTCCTCAAGCCTTGAGCAGCATACTCAGGTGCTGTGTTAGATTGGGAAGCCCCTCCCTCACCTCCCAGCTCTAGAAATCTGCTTTATAGCATGCGTTTTTGATGCAATTTGCATTTTGGTGGCTGTTTTAGAACTTAGTGGTTGCCTTTCTACAGTTTCCTTTTCTCTCTGAATCAAATGCTTTATCTTTTGGGGACTGGCAGATGGGCTTACTTGCATGTACAAAACTGACTTTTAAGCAAAGGACACATTCTTTGCTTAAAAAAAAAAAAATAGAAAACCTGTTATTCTGGGCAAAACTCTTCCAGATGCCTTTGGAAACGAATACATCTTGTTAGTGATCCCGTTTCATGTACTACAAAGGGCTCACTCTACAGGCAGATAGAGCCGGATTGAAGAAGTACTGTGAAAATACTTGAGGCCATCACCTTATGTAAATAAAAATCATTATCATTAATCATAAATACAGAAAATTCGATGTCTGATAAGTGAGCTTGTATCAAAGCAGACAGATATTTCTGTCTTCCCCGCCTTTCTCTTCTCTGCCTAGTGCTCAGCACTGCTCATCCTTGCTGATTTAATTCAATGAGCCGACCTGCAAACACGGCCAGGGTTCCAATGATACAGACGAGCATGAAGACTCCAAGGAGAATGTGGTCCATCACCATTGCAACATACTTCCATTCCTCGGCCACCTGGGAGAGAGAAAAGTGTTAGAATTTCCTTCAGGTGGTCATTAGACTCACAGTGTTCACGTTATGCATCGTCTGTGGTCCACACAATTTGCAGATCTCAAAGCCCTCGACATCCCTTGGCTGGCATGGTGATCTTTATCATTCCAATAGATTATTCACAATGAGATGGCTCACGAAGGCGGCTTAGAGGTGGTCACCAAGGCACATCGGAGGTCAGCAGCTGCCTCGTGAATGCCAACCTACCCGTCAAGACAAACCCGTCCATCTGTGCTCAAGTATTTGATCATTTAAGCCTGGAGGTGTGGGTCTCAAGGCACGGAACTTACGTTGTTGGACTCCTGGTCTGACTTCATGGTCTCTGCGATGTATTTGACTCCTTCAATGGCACTTTTTACCTCGGGGTGTTTGATCAGGGGAGAGTGGAAACCCATGGGTGGAGGCCCTGGCTTCCCAGAAATGTCAGAAATATCAATGTCTTCTGTAAAAATCTTTTTGTCTTGTTTTTCTCTGGATGGTCTTTTCATTGTGGAGAAGAACATGATATTTGGGATAGTGTCGATAAAAACCTAACATAAAGAAGAAATCCATGCATGAGAATTATTGCCAACAGGGCAAGTATCAAACTCTGACTTTGAATTAGCAGCGTGACTTTAGGCAAGTCATTTGGCTTCTCTGGGCCTTAGCCTCTTTGTCCTTAAAACAAAAGGACTCTACTAAATTTTCTTAAAGATTTCTTCAGGCATATCTTGTGGCCTGACAAATTACTACGGTGAGTAGAGATGAGTCTGTAATGTGAGGAGTTCGCCACTGGAGGGAGCCTGTGTGCAGCTATTGGACTCAATGAGAAGCCATTGATGCTTAAGCTTCCAGCCCTGCTATAGGTACCTGCTGTTTTCAAAGCCATATGTTAGCAGGATAATATGGTTAAAGAAAAGGTCTTTCTGGCTAAAAGAGTATATAAGTCTCCAAAACAGCGACTCTGTTTTCTTCCATTTCTTGTTCCTGAAGAAATGCAACATAGGTGTTGACAGGAGTCATGTGAGTCTTTATAGATACAGGGACTGATTGTCTTCCCAAAAGAATACATTGCAAGCAGTAGTGTTTCTGTCAGTTCATGACAAATCTTTTGCCTGCTACAGAAAAGACCCTGGAAGCTAGTGTCTCTGTGAAGTTTTATTTAAAAACTGACATATTGGAGGGCGCCTGGGTGGCTCAGTTGGTTAAGCGACTGCCTTCGGCTCAGGTCATGATCCTGGAGTCCCGGGATTGAGTCCCGCATCGGGCTCCCTGCTCGGCGGGGAGCCTGCTTCTGCCTCTGACCCTCCCCCCTCTCATGTGCTCTCTCTCTCTTTCTCTCTGTCTCAAAAAAAAAAAAAAAAAAATCTTTAAAAAAAATAAATAAAAATGCAAATACAAAAAAAAATTTAAAAACTGACATATTGGAAATGTTAACACACTTTAAATTTCAATAATGTAAATATTTGAGACCAAGTTCCTCAGTGACACTCACTTCTTGACAATTTCTTGTCAAGCACTCCCTCCATCTCTAGTTCTTCTATTCTCAGCAGATAATTTCTCCCACCAAAAAATAAGCAGTCTGTTCAGAGATTGGAAGACATACAAACAGAAATCTCAAGAATTTCACAGCATTTGACTAAAAAGACAGTGACTTACTCACCTTCTCTAATCAAAGGGATTATTTAAGCTTGAATTTGGAGGGGGCTTTGTTAATTCTGTTTTTCTTCTGTGCCTGGGGAGGCTACATGAGTTATTTATTCCTAGAAAGAGGCTAAAGAAAGTTCCTTCCAGAAATCCCCTCAAAATCCCCAGAAAGGACTTTCAGTTCCTAAGTACCCACAGTGGTTAACCAGAATTCCACTGGCCACGTGGAAGGAGAGATGTTCTTACGGGCAAGAGTTTGCAGGGCCTTGCTCACTCACCTTGCGTACCCAGTCGGGCATGACGTGGGTGCTGGGGGACCGGTGATGTGTATTGATGACAATGACGGTGATGATGATGGACGCTATGACAAACACCATGGTGAACAACATGTATTTCCCAATCAAGGGCACGGCACTGGAGGTGGAAGGGATCAGCTCCACGATGACCAGGAGGAACACAGTTAAGGACAGCAGGACTGAGATGCTTAGAGTCATCTTCTCTCCTGGACAAAATGAAGAAGAAATACAGCCACTCATGTATTATGGGCTGAATCGTCGTACCCTTCAATCTTATACATGGAAGTCCTAAGGCTCGGCACCCCCGTGACTGTAGTTGGAGATGAGGCCTTAAGTCAAAATGAGTTGATTAGGGAGGGCCCTCATCCAGGATGACTGGTGTCCTTCTAGGAAGAGGAGATTAGGACAGAGACACCCACAGAGAGGAAAGACCAGGTGAAGACACAGGGAAGACAGCCATCTGCAAGCCAAGGAGAGAAGCCTCAGAGGAAACCAAACCTACTGACACCTTGGCCTCCAGAACCACGTGGAAATAAATTCCTGGCGTTTAAGCCGCCCAGTTTGGGGTACTTTGTTATGGCGGCCCCAGCCAGCTCATATACCACAGACCCCAAGGGTGAGAGCAATGTGACCTGCGTGACGCTGGGGAAATTTCCTGGGCAGAATTTGGTCCTTTGAGACCTTACGCACCTTAGCTCTGCTGACAGAGGCAAGTGGCAGGCATTTCCATGAGAGGCTGCCGAACAACCAGTGGCTGCTTGATCTCATGTCCCAGAATTCTGAGGCTTGGAATTCAGGGAACCAAGTACACCCAGCTGTGTGACGGGCTAGACTCTGGGTGGCAGTGTTCTGTCTGCAGCAGAATGTCATCAGCCTCCCAAAACGGAACCTGACCTACTTGTTACCCAGCAGATGGATGGGCAAACCAGAAGTACACGTGTAGTTTTCTCGTTATGGGAGGAAGCTGCAGGACCAAAACCAAGAAAAGGACAAAACCAATGAACTACTTACTTTTTCACATTCATCTAAGAGGACAATTTGTTTTTTTTTTTTTCTTGTTCTGTTTTTCGTATTAAGGGATCAGCGATTTCCCTGCCCCAACCTCTTTTCACCAGGCCCTATAATTTCAGGGTGAACAATTCCCTGTTAGAGTTTTGGTATGGCAAGTGAGGAGGGAGGGGCTGAATGGGAATATTTTTGTGGGGACTGACCACCTGAGATGCAGTTAGAGAGCCTTTGGAAGGGACTTTCCTTGGCCCGGTCCTGCTATTTGTCTTGGGAAACCCTTGTGTTACCCTGTTCTCCTCCTATACTGGATGCTTCCAGATGCTATGAGTATCTACAGGATACAGAGTGGATGCAAACAAGAAATGACCAATTCTACCTAGTTAGGACAAGTCTACCTAGTGGGTAGGAAAGTCTTTAAAAGTGAAAAAGGGGACAGAATTATAAATATGAAATATTGATCAAGTTACATCAAATTTCTCGATTAATAATAATGAGAATAAGAGCTCGCATATATCATGCGTTCTCACTGTTCTAAATGCTCTTCAAGCGTAAACCATTTCACATTTACAGAAACTCTGATTCGTTTCCATATTGCCCTGACTGGCATTTTCTCTCTTCACTTTAAGAAGCTTCATTTGATTAGAAAGTTGAAAAAAAATTGTGTTTGGGATCATTTATTTAAAAATAAATACAGTCATAAATACAATGTGCATTCTGTGGGGCAAATTCTTTTTTTTTTTTTTAAGATTTTTTTAAGTAATCTCTACACTCAGTGTGGGACTTGAACTCACAACCCGGAGATCAAGAGTCACATGCTTTACTGAGTGAGCCAATCAGGAACCCTTGTGGGGCGAATTCTGCCTTATTCTCTACTGTGGCCTTGCCGCATAACAACTGTTCAACAAATACGTTGAATGAGTGAGTGTATATGAATCTTTTTTTTCCTTGTTGGAAAGCGGGACTTAGACTTGTGTGTGTGTTTGTCATTTTGATATAATTGTTACCTGTCATAAGTTTGAGGACTGTCTGTACCACCTTTCTTTTTCCTACTTGTCTGCCCTAAATTGTTTATGAGCAGTGACTTCAAGCAGGCACTCCTGTACCCTTTTCCCCTTTTCTGCAGATTGTTGGTATTTGGTGAAATTATGTCACAGATGTGATTACCCAGTAGGAGGTAAGGAAGTTGCTCAGGCTGATATGTGAGAAGGAATTGCCACTTGGGAAGTATGGTCTTGTGTATAAGATACTGCCATCTGGAAAACAGACACACAAAAGCTATTTTCAAGTGGCAAGCAGTGAGCAAAAGAGGCAAGACTTGGATTAATCAGTATATAGTCAGTGGCTTCGTAGGGGAAGTGACATGAGGAGTGTCTGTGACGCAAGCCTTACCCAACACATTTCTGGGCACACAGTAGGTATTCAGCAAGCAAGTACTGGTGGTTATTCACATTGGACTGAGCTGTGTATGTGCGCCTCCGGGCTCATGTTCAACTCTGCCTGCCCTGTAGTCTGCTCCAGCTGTGAGCTCTAGCCACAGCGACTCACCACGGAACATGGCCACTCAGTAAATGCGTCCTCCCAGGGATGATGATTGGGCGTGTCTGCCTGTATTTGTTTATTAGCCCATGATTATTTCTGCTTTCCCCCCAAATAGCAGCACGAGATGCGTCAGCAGCAGTGGCCATGGCAGTGGCACCCACCTGAGTCCGTGGGCAGGTAGAACACCAGGCCAGTTAAGAAGGAGAAGAGCAGGCAGGGAATGATGACATTGACGATGAAGTAGAGGGGTAGGCGCTGCATGACAAAGTGGTAGGTGATGTCCAGGTAGGGGGTGGAGGGGCAACAGGCATAGAACACCCAGTGCTTCCAGCCCCGGGACTCCTTGATCACCCATTCTCCACTTTCCATGAAGTTGCTTAGGTCTGGTTGGTCACTTTCCTGAGAAGATAAAATGAAACTTTGAAATCCCAGCTGTGTCCCCTTGAGGAGGGGTGGGTTTCAAACTCAGCTGTAATAAAGCAACAGATTGCAGTGCTGTTGGGACTGGAATGGGACCCAGGAGGGTCACTTCCAATTTGGGGTCTTTCCTATAAAATAAGGGGGGTTTGGACCATTGGGATCCTCCATGTTGAACACACCTTCAAGTCACTTGGGAACTTGACAACATATTGGTGCCTTACTCCCACCCCAGACTGATTCAACCAAAATTCCTGGGACCAAGTTCGGGCAGAGGAATGTATGTGAGCTCCCAGGTGGTTCTCATGTGCACACACCGAACTGTTGAATTCGATGATCCCCAAAGGTATAACTGGTGCTGAGAGACTGGGATTCTGGAGGGACAGAGCTGGACACCTGGATGACGCTCCTCCTGCATCCAGCCCCATCCTGTGAGGTCAGCACCTACCGGGTTGATGGCCACCACCGAGCCGTCATAGGTCCAGGTACCCAACTTCATGCTGCAGTTCTGTTCGTCAAAGGGAAAGTGGGTGACGATAATCTCACAGTAGCTTTTGAAGATGGCCGGGGGTGTCCATGTGATATGGCCGGTGTAGTCCAGGAGCACTTTGGTTAACTTGACAATGGCAAAGTCGCCATCTGCACTGCAGTTGGGATCAAAGAGGAACATGACTCCAAGTGACGGATGAGCCGTCAGTTCTGCGTGGGGATGTTAGCAGGAGACAGCTGTTAATTATCCAGGTGCTAATTATAGATGCTTTCATTCGGGGAGTGTCACTTTTTTTTCATGACAACGTTTCCCAAATTTATCTGATAATCACTGGGGTGCTTGTTTAAAATACAGACTTCTCAGCACCATCTAAGCACTAAATCAGAATATCTGGAGAAGAACCTAGGAATCTACGGCTTTAAAGAAATAACAGGTGATACTATATACCAGATGTTTTCTTCCCAGTCCTCAGTAGTATTTGTAATGTTAATCTCCATCTATCCCTTCCCCAATATACTTTGAAAGTTAACTGGGAAAAAAAAAACACGGGAATTTTAAATAAAAACAAGTCCAGTGGCTCATGACTGTGGTAAGCAGGTTAAAGAAAGGCTCTGTTATCTTTTTCAGAACTATCTAGAATTCAGTAGGGTAGAGTCGAAAACTCAGAGTGCTCCTGGGTCAGGCAGGTGAGGAAGGGGTGAGGGGTGAGAGGAGAGCCTTCTCTCCTCTAAGGAAGGTGCCACTCAGCTTTGCTGTGGAGCCCTCTTGTGAGGGAAGGATGATGCTGCCAGATATTGGGATTCTTCCTTGGAACCTGGAAATCTGGAATTTTTTTAATCCAAAGTTTCCATGCTTTTGAATAAGGGATTTTTCTACAGAGACTAGAACTCCAAAGTTTAATGTAATACTGTTCAATTTTCAAGTGTTGGCGCTAATTTCTCATTTTAAAAATCCACCATGGTAGAGGGGCGCCTGGGTGGCTCAGTCGGTTAAGCATCTGCCTTCAGCTCAGGTCATGGTCCCAGGGTCCTGGGATCAAGCCCCGAGTCAGGCTCCCTGCCCCGCTTGTGCTCTCTCTCTCACTCTCTCAAATAAATGAGTGAAATCTTTTTAGAAAATAACAAATAAATAATCCACCATGGTAGGTAATAAAAAATAACAGGCCGTTTCTGTGGGCCTTATTCAGTGGGCAGTCCACTTGATCCCAAACAGCCTGTGAGTTGGGGCCTCGGCCAAAGGCATTAGAATAAGTGTTGAAGAGCTGGGTGGGGTCTGCCCTGGGGGACTTTCAGGGACCTATGGCATATGTTGGTGCCTCACTTCATAAATCAGTGGTTTTTCCCTGGGGTGGAGTTGAGGCACTCTCCAGAAAACTGTGCGGTTCTGGACCTTCCCAAAAGAGCCCCAAAGAGCAGAGGGCCACAGGATCATCTACATCTGTCTCTGTAAGGTAGTAAAACTGGGTTCTCTACCCACCAGGGTGTTCCCGAGCGAGCTTGTCAAGAGGACCTGAGGACTTTAATTGCTTCTCTTAGATTCTTACCGAAAGAGAAACTTACTAACACCAGACACTCTGCTCTATCAGCGTATTTGTCCAAAAACTTTACACAAATGATTGGTTAATCGGGCTCAAGCTTGAGTCTCAGGTATCACTGGGAAATATGTAGTAGAAAATCAAAGTAGGAGGGTCGGCCGTAAAGGGTGTCCTTTCCATTCACAAGCCCTTGCTGCCCTCCCTGGTCAGTGTGCGAGAAGGCACAGCCCGCTTGCATAGACACGCACTGTGTGTAGACTGTCAGACTGCACATCCTCCAGCCCGATGGCGGATGCTCCCGCCCAGGAAGGATGCTCCTTGAAATGAACATTCTCTGACAAATGAAGGGCATATGATAATGAACCTGTCATTAGACCAGAGTGTCTTGCATCACATTATAATTTCACAACATGCAGTCTGTCACGGAGCCCGGTGGATGGGCGACGCAGGCCTCCCCGGCCATCAGCAGCACGCGATGTCTCGGGATGCCGTGAGGATGTGATGGATAACCACCCCAGGAGGTTCAGACCTATTGGTAGGAAGGGCGTTTAATTCCAAGGAACTCAATTAGATGAATTTGGGTTCCTTGGATAGTTGCCATACACCCTTCAGGAGCTCTCAGGGATTAAATGTCCCCCACCCCACAGCCCCGATTCAATTTGGCTCTGATAATTGTTTCTATTCATAACATGAGACACCATATGGCACCCCTAGCATGTCAACTTGGCTCTTGGTTTTTAAGGGTTATTTAATGTGAACAGTGATGAGAAGCATACTGAGAGTGGCAGCCCTTCGGATAGGGCACTTGGGCTCCACCTGCCCCAGGAATGTCCCCCTCTCCAGCCTATTTGTTTTGCTTACTTGTTATAGAGAACGAGGTCTGGGCGCCAGATCTTTTCTGAGGGAATGTGGATTTTTTTCACGCCGCCATACTCCTCTGGATTCCATTTTAGGTTGTAATCCACCCATTGCTAGAAATGAAGACATTTCACTAATAAAAAGAGCTAAAAACATTTAAAAAAAAAATCTAAGTTTATCAAGCGGTGTCTGGGCGGCTAAGTCGGTTAAGCAGCCAACTCTTGATTTTGGCTCAGGTCATGATCTCAGGGTCGTGGGATTGAGCACTGAGTCTGCACAGAGTCTGCTTGAGACTCTTTCTCCTTCTTGTTCTGCCCCTCCTCCCTGCTTTCTCTCTCTCTCTAAGATAAAGAAATAAAATCTTTACAAATAAATATCTAAAGTTATCAAGAGTTCTGATGGTATATGATAGTTTGGATATTGACAGAAATTGTGCTCCAGTAAAAAGATTTGATTCAGAATTCACGTTTCACTTTAGTAAACGATAAAAGCAAACACTTCTGTAGTACTGACTCCATGCATGCTCCATTCTGAGCATTTTACATAAATCTATGAGTTAGTCTTCACAATAATCCTATGAAGGAAGAGTGATTATTGACCCCATTTTACAGATGAGGAAACAAAGGTACCCCAAGTCACACGACTGGGTGGTGACACATCTACCATGCCACACTGCCCACCCCAGGAAAAGAGAATGACCCTATTGTGAACATTTCCCTCAAGCAGACAATATCATCTTTTAAAAGTATTATATTGTTTCCTACATTATAAAAGTCATACATGCCCAATGTAGCCTATTCAGATGACACAATGTTATGAATTGAACTGTATCACCCCAAAACTCATATGTTGAAGTCCTAATCCCCAGTACCTCAGAATATAACTTTATTTGGAGACAGGGTCTTTATAGAGGTAATTTGGTTAAAATTAGGTCATTGAGGTAGGCCCTAACCCAACAGGAGTTGTGTCCTTAAAGAAGGGGACATTTTTTTTTTAAGATTTTATTTATTCATTTGACACAGAGAGAGTGAGAGATAGAGAGCAAGCACAAGCAGGGGGAATGGCAGGCAGGGGAGGAGCAGGCTTCCCGCTGAGCATGGAGCCCAATGTGGGGCTCAATCCCAAAACCATGGGACCATGACCCGAGCTGAAGGCAGCCGCCCAACCAACTGAGCCACCCAGGCACCCCAGGAGGGGACATTTGAAGACAGAAACATACTCGAGAAGAATGCCATGGGGACATGATGCTGGCCAACTATAGGCAAAGAAGAAAGGCCTGGAAACAGATTCCCCCTCACAGCCCTCAGAAGGAGCCAGTCCTGCTGATAACCTTGATTTTGGACTTTTGGCCTCAAGAACTGCAAGAGAATAAGTTTGTCTGTGGCTTTGTTTATGGTAGCCTAACAAAGCACTAAGTAAAACACACACGCACCAACAAATATGATCCATAATCCCACAACACCGAAATATTTACTTGCATCATGTTGGTATGCATCCCTGTTACCCAAATTGATTCCCCCTGGGCCCAGGTTCAATCCCAGGGTGAATACAAACGACATCAATGCACTTATCGAGTTGCATACCTGTTTCAGTCGCACGTTGGTTGTCACAATCTGATTTACTTCATCCTGAGAAAAGATAAGACCACATCTTCAGAGGTAAGGAGGGGAGGCCAGGGTGAGGGGTGCGGGAGCCCCGAGTGCTATTGTCTCACCACGTTGATGAGCTGGATCAGTTGCAGGCCCACGGTGACCTCCACAGCCTGGCGGTGGTCTTCCACTGGCCGCACCACACTGTTATAATCTTCAAATAGCTTTGCCACCAGGCGGGTCTCATGTTCGGAGCCCAGGACGAGGCCAGCTGGGACAGCAAATGACACATACACTCAGATTCTGCTCCCCAGCCGCCACCAACACTAACATGAGTCACTGAGGCATGACCAGCAAATGGAAGGCACACGGACCCCCTTGTTCAAGGGCTCCCAATGCAGCTTTTATGGTCCTAAGTTCCTTTCCAGTCACAGCTGCTGGTGTGGTCCCTTCCCGGTGGGGTGTGCCAGATTATTGTGACACTTGTGCTCTAAACAGATGACATTCCTTAATACAGCTGCTGGCTGGAATCAGGTTTGCTGGATGCACACATGCAAGAAGAAAAGTCCACACAAAAACCCATCTCCGTATTTCAGGGTCTTGGCATGGGGTAATGAAATCTCAGGTTGGCCGGCCTCGGATCTCAAAATGCTGTGAACGGCCAAAAATTGATGCCGGTTCCTACCCACTAGGATGGCGAGAATTCACAAAATTGAAAGCAGTGAATATCGGTGATATTATGGAGCCCTCATATGTTGCTGGTGAGAATGTGAACGGTACAGCCACTCGGGGAGACAGTTTGGCACACAAGTTACATGCAGAGTGACCATATGACCTAGTGATTCCATGCCTAGGCATATCCCCAGAAAGACTGTCCACATAGAACCTTGTACACCAGTGTTCGTGGAAACACTATACATAATAGCTGTATTATGTATAGTGCAACTCGATATACAACTCGAATGCCCATCAACAGATAGATGGATGAACAAAATGTGGCATATCCATGCAGTGGAATATTATTCACCCATTAAAAGGAAGTGTTGATTTATGCTACAACGTGGGTGAACCCTGAAAATATTATGCTAAGTGAAAGAAATCAGACACAAAGGAGCACATATTGTAGGATTCCACTTATGTGAAATATTCAAAATAGGTAAATCTGCAGAGAGAGCAGATTAGGGATTGAGGGGACGGGAGAAAGGGGAGTAACTGCTTATGGGTATATGGTACAGGGTTTCCTTTTGGGGTGATGAAAATGTTCTGGAACTAGATAGCAGTGATGGTTGTATAACATTGTGAATGTACTTAATGCCACTGAATCATACACTTTAAAATGGCAATTTTAGGTAATGTGTATTTTACCAGGACAAATCCTATGTAATGTGTATTTTCCTGTAATTTAAAAAAAAAAAAAAATCACTGCTGGTGAGTACACGTCCCTGTTAAGTGACATAGAGTAAAAATCATGTGCTTTTCTGACCTGGATTTGGGGCTACTATGGAGCATGAGTGACTCCTGAGAATCTTTACTACATTTTCCTTCAGGATGCTGAGCAATATTATCTACTACTCTTGGACCCCACAGCCCTTTTCTGTCCAGTGTTACACGGGGCTCACCAGCCTCTGGTGAGGCAGGCAGACCGGCATTCTTACCTGAGATCTGAGAGGCTGGAAGACTTGTCCAAGGTTCTGTGGCTAGGGCAGAGCTTGGAGCGAGCCTTGCCATTTTGCGCTCTGTTCCCGCACTAACTCAAGATACCATGAGTGTGTCGTGGGCTGTCCTGGAAATTGCACCACTGTCCTAGCATTGTTCCAATGAGAAAAAGCATTCTCAATTCCAACAAGTGCCTTATGAAGGATCTTCATAACTTTGTAACTTAAGCCTTACGTGGCTTGAGGATTGCTTGTTCAGGGTTAGGAGAGGAAGCAGACACAAGATCCACTTGCCCTAATGCACGTAACCAGATCCCTCCCTTCCGCAGGTTATTGCTAAAGCCACCATACCTTCTCCTTTGGCCAAGACAACTTTAAAAACTGAATGAGTGAGATGCTTTCCTTTTTTCCCCAGTAGTGTTAATCTATTGCCTCTAAGACACGTTATTATTTTTCTTTATTATTTTTCTCCTTGAATCTTCAGTTTGAAAGTTTGTCAACAAAATAAGTAAAAAGTAATTACTTTTTCTATTTTTAATAACTAATAAAAATAATAGTATATCCAGCTGTTATGTGCAGACAATCTTCTGTGTGCTTTATATGTACTAACTCTTTCAATCCTCATAACTGGGTGGGGTAGGTACTGTTCTTGTCCTCGCTTTATAGAGGGGGAAATTGAACCTTAGAGAGGTTGAGTGAGTTGTCCAGATTTCATAAATGGTGGAGTCAGGTTTCAAGCCCACAGCCCATACTCTCAACCACTAGTTCACATCCAGAACTTTGGATCATCTTGAAATAACCAGTGTTATGCAATGAGTTGAAACATTTTCATCCTCACAAAAATGTGTATTTTGTTGGTAGAGCTTCACTGATGGCCCTTTATTTGTATTATTGAATCCTTACAATAATCCTAGGAGATAAGTCTTTACTCCTGGTTTACAAGTGAGAAAACTGACATTTGGACAGTTTTGGCATGTGTTCATGGTTCCCAGCCAGTTGGAAGTAGGACTAAAAATGCAGGCAGTCTGACCCCAGGGTCTGTGCTCTTTACTACCTCCCTAAAGATAAATGTATCATTTCCATTTGGATTTTTGAAGCTTTCAGTATAGCTTAAATGTCTGCATTATGACCTTCCTGGACTCTAGGTATGGAACCTCTGACCTCGCCTACCTCATTTCTAGTTGCCCAAACTTCCTGAGCCCAAAAGAATCCATTCGGCACTTACACATAACATCTCGCCCAAACCACCTGCCCCCTGCATTCAGCGCCCTTCAAGTTTGCATGTTGTACAAAGACCCAGTTTTTGTTGTCACCCCATTGAGCCCCTGGGACATGGCAATCCTCTGTCCTCCATACCTGTCCACCCTGGACCCCTCCTGGCCCACGGGTGGCGGGGGGAGGGCAGGACCATGGCATGGGCCACCGAGTGCCGTGGCCACTGAGTTTGAAGCTATTGCTTTGGCACTGCCTGGGCTGCTTATTTTTAAGTGACTGTTTATTCCCCTTTGACAGGAAGAACATACTAGAAAGCATCAGATAGAGCAGATGGTCCACATTATGAAGCAGGAAAACTATGCAGGCCAACTCTATGGTCCACTGGGGAGAAGGGGAAGACCGGGGAGACAGGCCTCGTCAGAAATCCAGTGACATTCGCTTCCTCCTCTCTCAGTCTCACAAATAACAAGGGACCCTGTTCCTTCCATAATGCATTTCTAAGGAATTTCTGTGGAGGTCTCCATGTCTCAGATTGGGTTCATTGGTGGTGGTGGTGGTGTTTTCCTTTTTCCTCCCCAGAGCAAAGCAGAGAGAGAAAACACATAGGACTTGAAGTCAGAATTCTGTGATTCTGTTCCCAGCTCCAGTGTGGTCTGGGTAGTCAGACCAGTTCTTCATGGAGTCAATGAATCACAGTAAATACTTTCTTAAAGACAGGGTGTAAATTGATAAACGTACAGACAAATAAATAATGTCAAAGTCTTTCTTTTCAGCAAGATCATATGGTAATCTTTATTCAGATGGTGTCCACATTACTTCATTCGTCAAGTATTTATTGAGCACTTACTGTGTGCAAAGCATTGCTTTAAGAGCTCTGAGATATTCAGAGGTGAATCTGATACGAATCCTATCTTTCTACCCTCACGGAGACTGACATGTGTCATTTACATAAATAGCTAGGAACAAGTTGGAAAGTAATATGCCATAAGAAAAATGGCAGTGAAGTACTTAGGATTCCAGAGATGGAAGAGAGGAAGAGGTTGTAATCCAAGGTGCTGCGTAATTAGAACAGAGATCATTATGTGGTAAGCTAACATAAGAAAAAGTGCCCTGATGTGAATGAGAATTTTGGCCACAAAGAACTGAACCAGCCACAGTTTCAAAGTGTTCTTTTTGTACCGTACTGGTTCAATTTGCATTTTTATGGAGGAACAGCCTACTGGACTTGGCGAAAGGAATTCTGAAATGTTACTAGTTACTTTGGGTAATTCTTATCTCAACCTGGTGCTGTATCTCTTGCTACCTTTGGCAATTTCAGGCTGGGTTTTCTGACTAGGCGCAGCATAAATAGTCTCCAATGGATCACATTCCAACATTTGTAAACTAAGCGACCCTGGGCAGGTCAGTTCATGTCTTTCAGCCTCGGTTTCCCTGTAATAACAAATTAAAGTTGTGGCACTGCCTCAGCTAGCTCTAAATTTCTATGAGCCCCTATGTGAATTGATACGGGGAAACTCTAGGTTTGATCTAAATATACATCACATACCTTTTTAGATAGGTAAACATGCATTTTCCCGAGGTCTTTGGTGTCCAGAGAGATCGCTTAAGGATTTTTATGTGTAAGCATATCACTTAAGAATTTTCATCGGGTGTAGTCTCTGCAGGCGAGCACGCACACACGTACATGCACACACATATGTGCACACACACACCACACCAACAAAGGCCAGTTTTAGCTGGATCAAGTCCAAATCCCACAGGCTGTAATTTATCCGAGTTTAGGCTATTTCCCTGAACTCTGCTCTTGAAAAACATTAATAATAAAGCTCTTTACCTTTCTTTGCGCAGAAGGTATGTGTGTGTGTCAGAGCAATATTAGAGAAGAGAAATCACAGAATGTCAGCTGTCTTGTTTCTCAGGTGAGATGATATCACCAGTAAACTTTTAAATGAAGCAATCAGCAAACATCTCCTACTTCCCTCTACCGGAAGTTTGGGATTAAGGGTAGCGTTTCAGCTGCTGTGTGGTGACACATTCCAGAGGGGAATGCAGGTCAAGGGCTATGCAAGGTTTTATAGTTTCAATTCCAACCCAAACCTACATAGAGTGAAACAGTAGGGCAGAAGTGCATTCAAACGAGCTTTTTTTTTTAACTGCAGAAGTTAAAAAAATTACCAAATATCTGATCTCTTATGGAAAGAGTTTAGTTACAATTATTAATAGGTTTCTCTCTCCAGCACATGCAGCTGTCAATCAGTCCTCTTCATTACCAGAATTCTCCCAGAGCAGTAAAAGGACTTGTTACCCAAATTGTCTGCAATTATAAGATGCCACTCTGAGTCCCTGTAGTTGCTCCAAGATGAAAGCCGCTCCTGGATGGTAGCAGGGGTGCTGAGTCTGATCAGATGGGTGAGGCGACCCTAGGCACTGATGGCGGGCGGGGCCTGCCTGTCTACTCTATAGCCTCTGACCAGGCAGCTCCCATTTTCACTGGACAACACAAACTAGAAATCTGTATCCACAAGCTGAATCAAGCCAACAAGAGTGAGAAACTGACAGAGGAGCCTCAGGCTGATGAAGCCCTGCCATTCTGTATCCCCAGAAGCAAGACACAGGTCCAGGGACGTCTCATGCTTCAGCCTCACAGGAGAGCCCCGCGACCCCGGCACTCACCTGAGCAGAACCCAAGGAGCAGGAGGAGCAGCTGTGGCTCCATGGGCCGTGGGCGCTGGTGTGGACTGGAGGTGAGTGGTGGCCTGCCTGCGCTGCTTGCAAGCCCTCTCTGGCTGGAAGCTTGGCTGCTAGAGGGTTTGGAAAGTGAGTCGGCTCAGTGGAGCTATTGTCTTACACCACCTGTTTGTGGCAGTGACAGCTGGGCTGCCCAGAGCCCTGGAGCCCAGGGACTTGCTGAGGGCCTAGCAGTATTACAGGGTGCCTCACTTTACATAATTGCTATACCCTTGATAAGTTGAGGGTGAACTGCATTGTATTTTAAATGCACCATGAGTTAGGTTTAATAATTTCTTAATTGTTAAGAAACAACTTAGAGTAGACAATGAATTATTTTGAATGCTGAGCAACCCCCTCCTTTTTGTATAAACCAGACCCTCATCTATGTGGATTGATTTGGATCAGCGTCCCTGGGGCTGAGTAGATCATCAGCTGTTTGTGTAAGACGCTGATCATCCTAAATCACGGAAGTCCACATTCCACACACAGGACAGTTCATTTGCTTGGTTCATTCTAGACTGAGTGTGCATGGGGCTTTTGTGCTGAATAAATTTGAGAAGAGTGGGGTTGGTGCCGAATCTACTGTCGGAGAATTCCACGTTTGGTTGGGTTTGGTTTTTAACAAAGATGGCTTCTTCCATAAAACTGGTTTTATTGGCCCCTGGAGTGGCTGTTCCAGCCTCTGTCTCTGTATCAGGCAGTACCTGTCCCATGGCGTGCCATTAGCGGGAGCTAACTGCCCACTTCCCACGTACTGTCATTCAAGTGAAGCGTAATTAGCGACAAAGTGTCCCACTGCATAAACATTTGTTCCAGGCTCCTACTCTCTTCCATCCATTCTCTGCCTACTCTCACTCAGGGAAGCAAAGAGTAGAGTGGTTCAGCTTTTCAATTTCTTTGTTAAAAAACAACCACCACCCTAAAAGCCAGCAGTTAGTAATTACTCAGTCTGAAGAGTATTTTTACCAAAACAGGGAAGGAAGCAGTTATTTAAAGAGACCCTGCCTGTTCCTTCCTTTTTCCCCAAACTGAATCAGGTGAGGAAGGTCCCTCGTCTCAAGTCCAAGGACAGCTTCCTGACAAATCTGCCCATTCTGGTGAGTCCAAACAGAGCATTAGAGAAAAGGCTTGGAAGGTACAGGAGAGAGCCACACATTGACATTATTTATATTTTTTCTGTTTAAGTTGTGGGATATCGCTCACTGTCCACTAAAAAATTGGTTCTCTCCTTTCCAGGGTATTGCACTCTGACTGCCTAGGAAAAAATACATCCTTCCACCCAGTTCTTGCATCTAGATGGAACCATGTGACTGGATTCTAGAAAATGAAATGTGAGGAGAAATTTTGAGACTCACAAACCTTTCAGCAGAGCGCATCCATGCTCTTCTAGTCTTTTCTTTTTAAAGTATCCAGTATCGGGCATCTGGGTGGCTCAGTTAGTTAAGCATCAGTCTTCGGCTCAGGTTATGATCTCAGGGTCCTGGGATCGAGTCCCACATCAGGCTCCCTGCTCAGCAGAGAGTCTGCTTCTCCTTCTCCCTCTGCCCCTGCTCCCCCTGCTTGTGCTCTCTCTCTCTCTCAAAAAATAAAATCTTTATTAAAAAAATACAGTATCCAGTATCATTAATAGAGTGTTACATTAGTTTCAGGTGTACAATATAGTGATTCAACAACTCTATGCTTTACTCAGTGCTCATTGCAAGTGTACTCTTTTCTTCACCCTTTTCACCCATCCCTCCACTGAGTTCCCTCAGGTGACCACCTGTTCTCTACAGTTAAGAGCCTGTTTTTTAGATTTGTCTCTTTTTCCTCCCCTTTGTTCATTTGTTTTGTTTCTTAATTACACATAAAAGTGAAATTGTATGTTATTTATCTTTCTCTGACTGACTTATTTCACAATAATGCTGCAATAATCGTAGGGGTGCATGTATCTTTTTGAATTAGTGTTTCTGTATTCTTTAGGTAAATACCCAGTAGTGGAATTATTGGATCATAGGGTAGTTCTATTTTTAACTTTTTGAGGAAACTCCATGCGGTTTTCCAGAATGGCTGCACCAGCTTGCATTCCCACCAACAGTGTAAGAGGCTTCCCCTTTCTCCACATCCTCACCAATATCTGTTGTTTCCTGTGTTGTTTGTGGTTCTGTTTTTTGTTTTTTAATTTATTTCATTTCATTTTAATATTTTATTATATATTTGCCAGAGAGAGAGAGAGAGCACGCAAGTACAAGCAGGGGGAGCAGCAGGCAGAGGGAGAAGCAGGCTCCCCGCTGAGCAAGGAGCCTGATGTGGGACTCGATCCCAGGACCTTGGGATCATGACCTGAGCTGAAAGCAGACACTTAACTGACTAAGCCACCCAGGTGCCCCTTCGTGGTTTTGATTTGCATTTACCTGATGACCAGTGTTGGGCATCTTTTCATGTATCTGATGGCCATCTAAATGTCTTCTTTGGAGAAATGTCTGTTCATGTCTTCTGCCCATTTTTTGGTTGGATTACTTGTTTTTTTTTGGTGTTGAGTTGTGTAAGTTCTTTATATATTCTGGATACTAACTCTTTATTGGATATGTCATCTGCAAATATCTTCCCCCATTCAGTGGGTTGTCTTTTAGTTTTGTTGATTGTTTCCTTTACTGTACAGAAACTTTTTATTTTGATGTAGTCCCAATAGTTTATTTTTGCTTTTGTTTCCCTTGCCTTGGGAGACATATCCAGAAAAATGTTGCTATGGCCAGTGTCAAAATCCTGTGCTCTCTGCTAGGATTTTATGGTTTCATGTCTCACATTTAGGTCTTTAATTCATTTTGAGTTTGTTTTTGTGTATGGTGTAAGAAAGTGGCCCAGTTTCATTCTTTGCAAGTAGCAGTTTTCCCAACATCAGTTATTGAAGAGACTGTCTTTTTCCCATTGCATGTTCTTGCCTCCTTTGTCAAATATTAGTTGACCATATAATCATGGTTTTTTTTCCTGGGCTCTCTATTCCGTTCTATTGCTTTATGTGTCTCTTTTTGTGCCAGTACCATACTGTTTTGATTACTATAGCTTTGTAGTATATCTTGATATCTGGGATTGTGATACCTCCAGTTTTGTTCTTCTTTTTCAAGATTGCTTGGGTATTCAGGATCTTTTGTGGTTCCTACAAATTTTAGTATTGTTTGTTCTGTGAACAATGCTGTTAGTATTTTGATAGGGATTGCACTGAATTTTTAGATTGCTTTGGGTAGTATGGACATTTTAATAATATTTGTTCTTCCAATCCATGAGCATGGAATATCTTTCCATTTGTTTGTGTTGTCTTCAATTTCTTTCATCAGTGTTTTATAGTTTTCAGAGTATAGGTCTTTTACCTCCTTGATTAACTTTATTCCTAGATATTTTATTATTTTGGTGCAATTGTAAACGGGATTGTTTTCTTAATTTCTCTTTCTGCTACTTCATTATTAGTGTATGGAAATGGAATGGATTTCTGTATATTGATTTTGTATCCTGTGATGTTACAGTTCTAGTAGTTTTTTGGTGGAGTCTTTAGGGTTTTCTATACATAATATCATGTCATCTGCAAATAGTGAAAATTTTACCTCTTCCTTACCAATTTGGATGTCTTTTATTTCTTTTTTTTTTTGTCTGATTGCTGTGGCTAGGACTTCTGGTACAATGTTGAATAAAAGTGGTAGAGTGGGGGCACCTGGGTGGCTCAGGCAATTAAGCGTCAGACTCTCAATTGCAACTCAAGTCTTGATCTCAGGGTTGTGAATTCAAGCCCCATGTTGGGCTCCAGGATGGGCATGGAGCCTATTAAAAAAAAAAAAAGTGGTGAGTGGATATCCTTGTCTTATTCCTGATCTCAGGGGAAAAACTCTCAGTTTTTCACCGTTAAGTATGATGTTAGCTGTGGGTTTTTCATAAATGGCCTTTATTATGTTGAGGTATGTTCCCTCTAAACCTACTTTGTTAAGGATTTTTATCAGGAATGGACATTGTAGTTGTCAAATGCTTTTTCTGCATCTATTGAAATGATCATATTGTTTAAATCCTTTCTCTTGTCTTTTTTTTTTTTTTTTTTTTAGATTTTATTTTTAAGTGATCTCTACACCAAACACAGGGCTTGAACTTACAACCCTGAGATCAAGAGTCACATGCTCTACCAACTGAGCCAACCAGGTGCCCCTATTCTTTCTCTTGTTGATGTGATATATCACATTGATTGATTTGCAAATATTGAACCACCCTTGTATATTGAGAATAAATACCACCTGATGGTAACGAATGATTTTTTTTAATGTATTGTTGGATTCAATTTGCTAATATTTTGTGAGGATTTTTACACCTATGTTCATCAGAGATATTGGCCTGTACTTCTCTTTTTCTGTAGTGTCTTTATCTGGTTTTGGTGTCAGGGTAATACTGGCCTCATGGAATGATTTTGGAAGTTTCCTTTCTCTTGAATTTTTTTGAATAGTTTGAGAAGAATAGAATTCTTTAATTTTCTTTAAAGAACAAAACTATTTAAATGTTTGGTAGAAGGGCTCCTTGAGTGCCTCAGTAGGTTAAGCGTCAGACTCTTGATTTCAGCTCAGGTCATGATCTCAGGGTTGTGAGATCAAGCCCTGCCTCAGGCTCTGTACTGGGGGTAGAGCCTGCTTAAGATTCTCTGTCTCTCTCTCCCTCTGCCCCAACCACCCCCTCCAATAAATAAATAAATACATGTTTGGTAGAATTCACCAGTGAAGCTATCTGGTCCTGGACTTTTGTTTCTTGGGAGTTTTTTGATTGCTGATTCAATTTCATGGCTAGTAATCTGTCTGTTCAAATTTTCTATTTATTCCTGATTCAGTTTTGGCAGGTTATATGTTTCTAGGAATTTATTCATTTCTTCTAGGTTGTCCAATTTGTTGATATGTAATTTTTCGTAATATTTTCTTATAATCCTTTTGTATTTCTGTGGTATCAGTTGTTATTTCTCCTCTCTCATTTCTGGTTTTGTTTACTTGGTGGACTTCCTTCCTTCCTCCTTTCCTGATGAGTCTGTTTACAGGTTTATCAATTTTGTTGATCTTTTCAAAGAACCAGTTCCTGGTTTCATCAATCTCTCTCTCTCTCTCTTTTTTTTTTTTTTTTTTTAGTTTCTATTTCATTTATTTCTGCTCTGATCTTATTTCCTTCCTTCTACTGGTTTGGGGTTTTGTTTGTTCTTCTTTCTCTAGCTCCTTTAGGTGTAGGTTCAGTTGTTTATTTGAGATTTTTCTTGCTTCTTGAGGTTGGTTTGGATTGCTGTAAGGTTCCCTCTTAGAATAGCTTTTATTGCATCCCAAAGATTTTGGACTGTTGTGTTTTCATTTTTATTTGTCTCCACATATTTTTTGATTTCCTCTTATTTCTTGGTTGACCCATTCATTGTTTAGTAGCATGTTATTTAACCTCCATGTATTTGTGTCCTTTGCAGATGTTTTTCTTGTGGTTGATTTCTAGTTTCATAGTGTGATGGTCAGAAAAGATGCATGGTATGACTTCAATCTTTTTGAACTTATTAATACTGGTTTTGTGGCCCAAGATCTGATTCTACTCTGGAGAATATTCCATGTACACTCGAAAAGAATGTGTGTCCCACTGTTTTATAATGGACTGTTCTGAATATATTTGTTAAATCCACCTGGTCCGAAGCTACTGTTTTTTTATTTTTTATTTTATTTTATTTTTTAAAGATTTTATTTATTTATTTGACAGGGAGAGACACAGTGAGAGAGGGAACACAAGCAAGGGGAGTGGGAGAGGGAGAAGCAGGATTCCCGTGGAGCGGGGAGCCCGATGCGCAGCTTGATTCCAGGACCTGGGATCATGACCTGAGCCAAAGGCAGACGCTTAACGACTAAGCCACCCAGACGCCCCAAAGCTACTGATTTTTTTAATTGATTTTCTGTCTGGATAATTGATTGATGTAAGTGGGGTGTTAAAGTCCTGTACTATTATTCTGTTATTGTCAATTACTTCCTTTTTGTTTGTTTTTAGCTGCTGTATGTATTTGGGTGCTCCCATGTTAGGTGCATAAATATTTACGATTGTTACACCTTCTTATTGGGTTGTTCCTTTTATGATTATGTAGTGTCCTTCTTTGTCTCTTGTTACAGTCTTTGTTTTAAAGTCTAATTTGTCCAATGTAAGTATTCCTACCCTGGCTTCCTTTTCACTTCTATTTGCATGATAAATGCTTTTACACTCCTTCACTTTTTTTTCCTTCCTTTTTATTTATTTACTTATTTATTTATTCTTCCAAATTTTTATTTAAATTCTAGTTAGTTGACATATAGTGTAATATTGGTTTTGGGAGTAGAAGTTAGTGATTCATCACTTACATATAACACCCAGTGCTCAACACAACAAGTGCCCTCCTTAATCCCCATCACCCATTTAGCCCATTTCTTCACTTTCAATCTGTATGTATCTTTAGGTCTGAAATGAGTCTCTTGTAGGCAGCATATAGATGGGTCTTGCTTTTTTATCCATTCGTATGTCTTTTGATTGGCAGTTAGTCCATTTACATTTAAAGTAATGATTGATAGGTATGTATTTATTGCCACTGTGTTACTTGTTTTATGGTTGTTTTTGTAGGTCTTCTCTGTGCCTTCTCTTGTTCTCTTTTCTCATAGTTTCCTGGCTTTCATTAGTGATATACTTGGTTTCCTTTCTATTTTTTGCATATCTATTACTGGTTTTTGATTTGTGGTTACCATTAGGTTTATATGTAACATCTTACACCGATAGCAGTCTATATTATGTTGATGGTTGCTTAAGTTTGAACCCATTCTAAAAGCTTTAAAAACTTTTTAAAAAAGTTTTTATTCCTCTCCCCACCATGTTTTAGGTATATGGTGTCATACTTTCCATTCTTTTATTTTGTGAATCCCTTGACTGATTTTTATACTTAATTTTATAGACATACTTTTGCGCTTCCTTCTTTTCTTACTCCTGCTTGTGGTCTTTCCTTTCTTCTCAGAGAGTCCTCTTTAACATTTCTTGTAAGGCTGATATAGTGCTCATGAATTCCTTTAACTTTTGTTTATCTGGGAAACTCTTTATCTCTACCTCTATCCTGAATGATAGACTTGCTGGATAGAATATTCTTGGCTGCAGGGGTTTTTGGTGGTTTGTTTGTTTGTTTAGCATTTTGAATATATCATGCTTCTGGCCTGCAAAATTTCTGCTGAAAAATCAGCTGATAACATTATTGGGTTTTCCCTTATGTAACTGTTTTCTTTTACTGCTTTTAAAATTCTCTCTCTATTAGTACTTCTTGCCATTTTAATTACTATTTGTTTTGGTGTGGACCTCCTTGGGTTGATTTTGTTGGGGGCTCTCTGTGCCTCCTGGCTCTAGATTTCTTTTTCCTTCCCCAGATTTGAGAAGTTTTCAACTATTATTTCTTCAAATAAATTTTCTGCCCCCCTTTTCTCTATCTTCTTCTGGGATCCCTGTAATGTGAATGTTATTATGCTTGATGGTGTCACTAAGTTCTCTTAATCTATTTTTATTTTTATTACTCATTTTTCTCTCTCCTGTTCAGCTTAATTGCTTTCCATTGCTCTGTCCTCCAGGTCCCTGGTCTGTTCTTCTGCTTCTTCTAATCTGCTGTTCCCTCTCATGTATTTTTAATTTCAGTTATTGAGTTATTCACCTCTGATTGGTTCTTTTTTATGTTTTCTGTCTCTTTGTTGAAGGTCTCACTGAGGTCCTCCAGTCTTTTCTCAAGTCCAGTGAGTATCTTTATGACCATTAATTTAAATTATCTATCTGGGGCACCTGCCTGGATCAGTTGGAAAAGCATGCAACCCTGTGTTGTTAGTGGGCCAGTCTGGGGCCATCTTGGGCTTGAGTCAAGTCAGACCAGGTGTTTGCCAGAGATGCAGTAGCCCCAAAATGCAAGGACTCTCCCTGTGTTGTCCTCTGAGAAGCTTTTGTGGGTGGGCCAGGCCTGCAATCAGACCAACTCTCGGCTCCCAACCCACTGCTGGGGCTGAAGTCTGACTGGTGTGTGTGGTTATCTTCCCCTCTGCCCAGGGCAGGAGTCACTTTGGAGTGCCAGCCTTGTGGCACTGCTTCGGATAGGCTTTGACCAAAGGCATGTTGGAGAATGCAGTTCTGCGGGAGAACTCGGGGGCAGGGCGTGCAGTGCCAGAAGGTCCACACTGGTCCCCTGTGGGAGGGGAGCTGCATGTGCCTGGGAAAACTGCCCAGGCTGGGGTGGAGGGGACAAGTCTACAGGAGAGCATAGGGGCAGGGTGTGCTATTAGCAAGCTAGGTGGAAAGTGTTGGCACTCTGTTGGTTCCCGCAGGTGTCTGTGTATCTAGGCTGGGTGTGGGGGAGGGAAATGGTGCCCATCAGCTCTTTTATTCTTGGAGAAGTCTCCCAAACTTCCCTGCTCTTCCAGCACATGCTCTGAGATTAGTAAAAAAACCTCCCTCCTGTATACCCCAGGCATTTTCCAACTGCTGCTTCTATGCTGTGTTTCCATAGGGCTCTTTGTTTTGCTGCCTCTTTAAGGGTGGGACTCAGTTTCCTATCACTTTCCTGGCTCTGCCAGAACCAAGTCCACTGATTTTTTCAAGTTCCAGGTGTTAAGTCCCACTGATTATAAAAAACTCATGAAGCCAGGCCCCTTGAGCTTTCAAAGCCAAATGTTATGGGGATTTGTCTTCCACATGCCGTGCCTGGGGTGCCTGGGGTGCCTGGGGTGCCTAGGGTGCCTAGGGTGAGGGTCTGTTTCTCTCCTCTCTCCATGCCAGCAGCATTTCTCCCTCCTGTGGCCAATTACAAGGGTCCTTTTGGCTCCCAACACCTCTTTGCCCTTCCTATCCTCTTTGATGTGGCCTCTTCTCTACGTTTAGCTGTGGAGAGTCTGTTTTGCCAGTCATTTTCTGGCTTATTTACACCGATGTGGGTGTTACCTAGTTGTATCCATGGGGTGAGATGAGCTCAGACTCTTCCTGCTCTGCTACCTTTAAGCCTCGTGCTCTTTAGTCTTCTGACTAGCTGGAATGGACATGAGCCCATTGGAAACCACATGTTGGAGGTGACTTTGCTTTCAACATCCTGGATCCTTGAATGACTTCATGGAGAAGGACATCCATTGACCTGTCACCACCCAGCTCTATTTCATGAGTGAGAACAAAACTTTCATCGGCTTAAGCCATTGAATTTCTTGGGTTTATTTATACAGTAGCTAGTGTCATTAGTATTACTGCAAAATTTACTCCCTTCCATTGGGGTTCTGAGGTTAAGAATAAACCCTAAAAAAATAGCATTGCAGAGGGAGGCAAGAAGATTGGTATTGGAGGCTGACAAGATGAAAACCCGTGTTATATAATAGCAAATTATTTAATAAAACTGTCGTCCTCAATTACTTGGTGAGCAAAATGTCTACTGAGCCATGGCTTTAAAAGAGGTTGGAAAACCCAAAGATAGTGCACAATTGTTCTTATTTGCTTTGCTTAGTGTGTCAGCATAAGGGCCAAGCTCAGGCAAGAATCGGCTGCTTTAAGAGGAGAGATTAAAGGAAATAGAATAAGTCCAGAAATTTGAAGCCTTCTGCTTTGAAACCCAAAATATAAGTGATAACAGAAAAAAGGCTTTGAGCAACAAAAGCCCATTAAGACTTCTTTTTAAGCAGATAGTTTCACCAATGCAGTTTAAGGATGCTTTCTTCACACTCAAGACTGTTTTTTTTCCAGATAGCTTCAAGATGGTTGCCATTAAGTTGAAGGAGAGAGGCAAGGGGGTTAGGATGCAAAGAAGTAAATCAGGCTTGAGAGTTAGGTCTAGTGAAGAACCCTATGTGTGCATACTGGCACATGGAAATGACTGAAAACAAATATTTCAGAAGCTCACGAAGTGTTGGAAGGAATTGTATTGCCAAAGAGTTCTTGAACCCAGACTAGAAAAATTTAGGTTGTTCAGGCCTTAAAACAGTCCTTGGGCGCCCAAACATGCTACAACAGTTGTACAGACTCCAGGGAAGGCACTTTCCCTGCTGCCCACTTCAGATGTGGCCATGGAGATGCATGGGCAAGCAAGACCTGCAGGGGAGCCAGGAGCCACAGAGAACAACAGACAAGGGAGCTCCTCCCACAGAGCAAAGTCAGGGTCTAATGAAGGAACCATAGCAGACCCTCTCAGGGCCCTCCCTCCCCTGCCCCATATGCCCTTGTCTTTCACCTCTACTCTGAAAACTCTGCTTACTGCCAACACCTGCCCAAGGGATTTTTTCTGGCTACAGGAATACACAGGACAAGCTGGAAATGCAAGAGCATTAATGGCTCCAGAAACAGCCCTCAACTGCTGTAGGTGGACAAATACCCCAGTTTCCTCACCTGTCAGATGGGGAAACTGAGACACGCTCTATGCTGTGACTCAGAGTTCATCCATGGACGGAGTCCCCACTGCCCATGGTGGAAATGGCTGGACAGCCCTCCCTTTACTGGCTTCCTTCACTTCCCTGTCCACTTTGTTCACTCTGTACCTCCCAGATAGACCCCTTACAGGGTCTGCTTCTGGGGGAACCCAAATCAAGACAGAATTTCTCCCACTGTCTGGGCAGGAGCTTCATAATGGCTTCACAGTAATGTAAATGGGTGCCTTTCCCACATTTCTACCATCTTACCAATTCTCTTCTATAGATGAACATTTGAAACTGTAGACTAAAAAATAATTAATTAAAACTGTTGTTATCCTCAGTAGTAAACTTATTTTTTCAAAATGTCTAAGTAATTCAAGTTTGTTGTAGAAAAATTAAAAACAGATGAACAAGAAAAAATGATTATCCATTATCCTTCTAACTAGAAATTTTCATCGTTAGTGGGTTAGTTTTTATCTGTTCAGACCCTTTCCATGCATTCATTTATTCACTCATTTTTCACTATCCCAAATCCTTTATGTTACTTAAATTAAGAGTTTACTTAATTTATAGGCTTTCATGGATTAACTACTGTTAAAGAAATGCTACTTTCAGGAGAATATTAATCTTTTTTTCAGCTTTATTGAGGTATAATTGACAAAATTGTAAGATATTTTAAGTATACAATGTAATGATTTTGATATACATATGCTTTGTGAAATTCATCGTATTTAGGGGCACCTGGGTGGCTCAGTTGGTTAAGCGTCTGTTTTCGGCCCAGGTCATGATCCCAGGGGCCTGAGATCGAACCCCATGTTGGGCTCCATGCTCAGCAGGGAGTCTGCCTCTCCCTCTCCCTCTGCACCTCCTGTGCTTGTGCTCTGTCTCTCTCTCAAATAAATAAATAAAATCTTTTTTAAAAAAGTGAATTTTTTTTTTCTTGGGCATTGCTATGTACCAAGCATAGTTCTAGGCGTTTGAGATACATTAGTAAACAGATGAAGATTTCTGTTCCTCAAGAAAAATGCATTCTAGTTAGAGAAAATAAACTATATATATATATATATATATATATATATATATAAATTTAAACATGAATTGTTTAGTATCTTATCGTGAAAATGTTATGGAAAAAAAAGAAGGTAGAGCAGGGTGAGGGGAATCAGGATGGCTAGAGAGGGGATTGTAGCATGGAAGCACAAGTGTTAAAACACCCTCAGCAGGGGTGAGGCATTTGAGCAAAGACTTGAAGGAGGTGCAGATATCCATGGGTTGAACACTCCAGGCAGAGTGAACAGCAGTAGACGTCCCTAAGTGGAGTGCACCTGGTGTGCTCCTGACTTCGCAACGAGGCTGGCCAGGCTGGAGCAGAGTGAGCGACGGGGAGATGATGTTGGAGAGCAGCCGGGGAAGAGAGGACACAGTGTGTCTTGTAGACTTTTACTGTGTGCAAGACTGGGAGCCTCTGCAGGGTTTTGAGCAGGAGGGACGTGGTCTGACGTTCCTCATAAAGGATCACTCTGGCTCCTGTGGTAGCGAGAGACTGTAGGGAAGACGAGGGAGGTGCTCCTGCAGTAATCCAGGTGGTAGGTGGGGGCAGACAGGACCACAGTGGTTGCAGGGAGGGCGATGAGAAGTGGCTGGATTGGGGAAATATATTTTGACACAAGGCTAAGAGGATTTCCTGAAGGATTGGATCTGGATACAAAAGAAAGAGAGGATGATGGCTGCAGATGATTTGCAGGGTTCTGGCTTGAGCATTGGGAAGGATTTAGGTGCCAACAAGTGGATTAAGGAAGGCTGTGGCTGGAGCAGGTTAAATGGGGAGGAGGCTCATAAGTTCTGTTAGGGACATGCTGAGTTTGAAATGTCTATGAGAAACCTGAGTAGACAGTTGGATTTATGAGTCAGGAGTTTAGGGGAGAGGTCTAGGCAAGGGCAGATGGTGCTGAAAGCCATGACTGGATACGGTCAAAGGAGTGAGGGAAGAGAAGAGAACTAACATTAAAAACCTGGGAAGAGGGCACCTGGGTGGCTCAGCCGTTAGGCGTCTGCCTTCAGCTCAGGTCATGATCCCGGGGTCCTGGGATCGAGCCCCGCATCGGGCTCCCTGCTCTGCGGGAAGCCTGCTTCTCCCTCTCCCACTCCCCCTGCTTGTGTTTCCTCTCTCGCTGTGTCTCTGTCAAATAAATAAAATCTTTAAAAAAAAAAAAACCTGGGAAGAGAGGTACCTGGGAAGAGAGGTGCCTGGGGGGCTCAGTTGGTTAAGCGTCTGCCTTCGGCTGAAGTCATGATCTCAGAGTCCTGGGATCGAGCCCTGCGTCAGGCTCCCTGCTCAACCGGCAGTCTGCTTCTTCCTCTCCCTCTGCCCCTCCCCTCTAGTCATGCTTTCTCTCTCTCAAATAAATCAATAAAATCTTTAAAAAAATAATAATAATAACTGGGAAGAAGAGGAAGAATGCAGAAAAGCCTGAGAAAGCAGAAGCAATGAGGCAGGAGATCCCAGAGAATGGTGTCCTGGAAGCCAGAGGAAGAACTCATACAAGGAGGAGGGAGCAGCCGCTGTGTTAAATACTGCTCAGGGAGCCCATGACAGGACAGAAATGCCTCTGGGGTTAGCAGTGTGGAGGCCACTGGGGACTTTGACACATACAAAACCTGACTGGAGTAGGTTTAAGAGGGGAGCAATTAGAGTGGCTTTACTGAAAGGGTAACAAAGAAATGAGGTGGTGAGGAAATAGAGCCAACACAAGTTTTTCCATTGTATGCCCTTTTTGTGTGGGGGGGGGAATAACAGCATATTTGTATGATGATCATAATGATCCAACAGTAACAATCAAATAAATTGATTATGCAGTAGGGAGCTCAAAGAAAACACCCATAAAAATGTTTTCAAAAATGGGGTTTACTATACCTACCTTTCTATAACTTACAAAATATATAATAAATATGTTCCTAGTCAAATAGCGTGGCTCTACATTTTTTTAAAAGATTTTATTTATTTATTTGCCAGAGAGAAAGCACAAGCAGGGGGAGCGGCAGGCAGAGGGCGAGGGAGAAGCAGACTCCCCGCTGAGCAGGGAGCTGGACATGGGGCTCAATCCCACGATCCTAAGATCATGACCTGAGCTGAAGGCAGACGCTTAATGGACTGAGCCACCCAGGCATCCCGAATGAAACATTTTAAATAATTTTAATGCATATCGAATAGCCCAAATTTCCATTTTAGAATCGATCAAAGTCATTTAGACTAATCCTTTATCGCAGTTAATTTTTATATTATACCTATTGCATACTGTTACGTTTATTTGTGTGATGATCTGATTAATGTCTGTCTCTCCTACTAGACAGCAGGCCAGCGAGTGGGGAGTCAGTACGTGTTTTTCTCACCACTGTATGCTCAGCTTCTGGCCCCGAGCCTGCCATTATAGTAGGCCTTCAGTCAGTATGGGTTCGTGAGTGAATGACGAGGTATAAAGCCTAATTCAATGATTAGGGTAGAAGATCCAGTGGATAATGTCATGTGGGGGTAGAATGAGGTGTGACTATCGATCACCCCGAGTGCCTTGCAGGGTACCTGGTTTATAGCAATAAACGTGTTTGTCATTGACTAAATCAGGCACGAATGAGGTTATCACTTTTGTAAAAGTCCACCTTCTTGTGTGGCTTAATGAGTGGAATGGTCGTAGATCCTCCCCAGGTCACGTCTTTGGAGAAAACACTGAGTCTGCGTCTATATTGGTGCAGCTCTCAGGGGCCTGGCCACCGGCCGCCAAACAAATCCTCTTTTCCAAGTGCTGAGCACCTCTTTCCAGTCACCAGCAGGCGGCGACAGTCGGCCAGTGAAGTGGCCGCGGAGCGTGCGAGGCCCTCTGGCCAGACCCTGTCTGGGCTGGAGCACTGTCTGCCGTCACCGGGCTCTGTCGCGGCTCCGGTCACCCGGAAATGCCCTGCAGGCCAGCCTGGCAGGCTCCTTCCCGGGAGGCAGGCTGCTCAGGTGCATTCCCTGGGACCCTGGGGCCGTGGTCTCCCCTCAGCAGGGTCACTTCTCAGCCCCTAAGAGAGCCCAACTCTGCGCTTCCATATTACAGGGTTTATATTCCCAAGGAACTCTGTACTGGACGGCTCAGGAGCCAGGACACGGCATTTGAAAATCCGGACTTCTTTGGGCTCTGAGATTTTATCCAGTTCACATCAAGTGACCTGCCTCTGTCATTGTCTCAGTCTGAAGTAATCAGTTTCTGTTAATTCTTCTTTTTTTCCCAGCCCAGCTCAGTGCCATGCAGACAAGCTGACCTTTTTTTTTTTAAGATTTATTTATTTGATAGAGAGCACAAGCAGGGGGAGCGGGAGGCAGAGGGAGAAGCAGGCTTCCCGCCGAGCAGGGAGCCCGATGCGGGGCTCGATCCCAGGACCCTGGGATCATGACCTGAGCCGGAGGCGGATGCTTAACCGACTGAGCCACCCAGGCGCCCCAGGCTGATACTTTCATACGACCGTGCTGGGTCTGTACTCATCGGATCGTATAAATGCTTCTGAGGACCTGCCAAACAGACTGCGGCCCACTCACCATGGGTCCACCCCATCTTGCGGCTGCTTTTTTCCAGCGGCAGGGATGGATTTGCCCGCATGGACCTTTACTCTCTCCTTTGTTCCCTTGCGACTGATGATAGGGAGGAAATCGCCATTTGCTGAGAACCCACTGTGCACCAGTTCCCTCTCACAGCAACCCAGTGGGTGGGTGTCGTGTCACGGTGGCCAAGCCCACTTAGGTTGTAAGTGGCAGAGTACCAGGACAGGAGTCGGCTATTGCTGACTCTATGTTGCTCCATCTGTATGCTCATAGTCCAAAGTATGCTCCAAGAAGCCCCTCGGAGGTGGCCACGAGAGGGGGGGCGGAGAGGAGAAGGTGGAAGGGGGGCACGTGCCCTAAGGGCGGTGCTTCTTGTTTCCCACCCTTGCTTCATCTAGAGCAACTGCACTTTGACTTAAAAGGAAAAAAAAAAATACGTGTGTGTGTGTGTGTGTGTGTGTGTGTGTGTGTGTGTGGTCTCCTGAAAGAAAAGCATAGGGGCGCCTGGGTGGCTCAGTAGTTAAGCGTCTGCCTTTGGCTCAGGTCATGGTCCCAGGGTCCTGGGATCAAGCCCTGCATTAGGCTCTCTGCTCCGCAGGAAGCCTGCTTCTCCCTCTTCCACTCTCCCTGCTTGTGTTCCCCTTCTCGCTGTGTCTCTGTCAAATGCATAAATAAGATCTTTAAAAATAAATAAAAGCTTAAAAAATAAAAAGGAAGCTTAAGTGAAAGATTTTATAAATACGTCAAGTATAAGAAGAAAAAAACATCTGAAAATCCTCTTGCAGCGTACGTCGTCGTCTTGGGACATTCTGACACTGCGGAGTCACGGTCAAGTGTGAGCTGTGGATGTAAGACAAAGCAAAGCTCACGGGGACTGAAGCAGGGCCTCGGCCCCTGCAGCTCCAGGGTCTAACCACTTGCTTCATTCAGGAAATGCTTTGGTGGCAAAATTCCTCTGCAGCAGACACAGAACAATGTGTGGGATACAAAATCTAACGTGTACCCCTGCCCCCTGCCCGGAACGAGGGGCGTGTTTTGAAGTTTGTCACACAGATCCTGGGTAATAGCAATCGGATGGAAAACTAAAGAAGCCCGGGAGACCAGGCTGAATGACAGATGAAAAACAGAGGCAGAGAGAAGAGGGAGTGGGAGAGAAGCCTCAGGCTGGGTCTCTGATCAGAGAACCAGAGATCGAGAGACAGGTGCAAACAGTATCTTTAAGGAGTTTGCTGGATATTTAAAACACACTCCCACCTTTGACATTTTCTTAAGAGAAAGATTTGAATTGTTTTCAATTATATTTTTCTGCAGGTCTGAACCAGTGCCAAGACTAGACCCATGTAGGATCCTGGGTTTGCATCGGTTATATAAGCAAACCAGTTTCTGCTGTGATCTGGAAGAGTCAAAACCATGAGTGTTTTTCAGCTTCCATTTTGTCAGCTGCTTAAGTTTCTATTCTGAGAGGTGCTAACTGTTAAGCATTGTTATTCACTTGTGTTCCCTAAATAACTTTTAATTAGTTTTAATTTGGACCAAGGATGTTCTACTGTTGACAGTGACAGGAATTATCAAAAACTAATAAAGAACTAAAAAAAAACTAATAAAGAACTCACTTCAAAAAAAACTTGCACTAATATTACAGTATTTTATAATGTCTATCTCAGCAGACACAGCTAATTTACATTTTTAAATTTCATTTTTTGATGATTTTCCTCAAAGCCATAATCATATTGGTTAAAAGTTTACCTAAACATTATTTTTCACCTGCAAGCATTTTTCACAATGGAATTTTTCTTTTATCTTTCAGTGGAATGAATGCACGGGTGCAAGAAACGTAATCAAATTAGTAACTGTATGGAGCCTTTGAAACTGTGTTTTGCTGGATAGTGACTATTACTCAGTGAAAAATGAGCAGTAAATCCTTTCCCCTTAAAAATTGTCAAAGAAGGGGCACCTGAGTGGTGCAGTTGATTAAGTGTCCGACTCTTGGTTTTGGCTCGGGTTGTGATCTAGGGATCTTGAGATTGAGCCCCGAGTCCGGCTCCACACACAGCGGGGAGTCTGCTTGAGATTCTCTTTCTCTCTCTCCCTCTGCCCATCCCCCTGCTTGTGCACTCTCTCTCTCTCAAATAAATAAATAAATCTTTTAAATAAAATAAAAATCGCCAAAGAAAAGTTTGTCATGCCTTTCAGAATATCATAAAGCAGACAATACAAGGAATTCAAGAATAGTGTTGGAGTTTTTCAGTCAAACACCCCCTCTTCCCTCAGTTGTCCCCTAATCCTTAGGGCATGATTCTAACAAAGACTCAAACATCCCTTTGTCTAAAAAGTGACCCACTATCAAAGAGCTAGTAATCTTGGGGTCAGCCCTTTGTCTTTTCCAAAGTGAGTAAAACCTTCTGAATCCTACAGGGTAAAAATCTGGCAAAAGTCAAAGAGAATTTCTGATACATCAAGGAAATACGCCATGAGGATCCTGTACATGACACTAATCCAAGCATGCTCTAGTTTAGTTCAAAAACCAGTAAAGACATAAATGTCTGAGCAGGTTTCTTTAGTGAAAGCAAGCCTGTGATATGTAAGCTAAATCTCCAAGTGTAGTGACCAACGGGGATCTTGTTTCCAGACTCATTTTCATCATCTTCTTAAGTACTTCTTAATTTGGTTTTGGGACCACTTAGCTAATTACAGATGAGCAGGATGGGCCTTGTGTGTTACTGAACAACTGAGAGAATTATTTAGTATTCTGTAGTTCAGTGACAGAGAGTCTGGATGCGCTTGAATATTTAGGGAGTTTTACCTTATCTTTTTGTTATAGAGGCCTTACGACAACTTAAAACATTGGTCAGCTTCATTGTTACCTAGCTAGACTTTTATTTTTTTATTTTATTTTATTTTATTTTATTTTAAAGATTTTATTTATTATTTGACAGAGAATGAGAGAGAGAGAGCACATGAGAGGGGGGAGGGTCAGAGGGAGAAGCAGACTCCCTGCCGAGCAGGGAGCCCGATGCGGGACTCGATCCCGGGACTCCAGGATCATGACCTGAGCCGAAGGCAGTCGCTTAACCAACTGAGCCACCCAGGCGTCCCCGTAGCTAGACTTTTAAAGATTGGCTAGCCAAGACTGAATTTTATTCAAGCACTATTTTAAGGACATTAGCCTGTTCTATGGCCATGATCGGTACTATTTAAATTTCCAGCATCTCTGTGTTCTGTGGGCCAACCTATTGTGTTAGTGGTACCACCTAATTTGTCACAATTCTGGACACACTGGCAGACCTCAGGTGTATCTGGAGCTCGTGGATAGGTATGGGCATCTGTCTGGAACTCCAGTTTTACTTGAAGACTTGGAAGGAAAAAAAATTAATCAATTTAACCATTTATTTAATGTGCTGCCAATTCTTTATTTAATTTGCTGTGACGCAAACAAAATTATGCATTAGCTATGTTATGACTAAAACCCAAATGTTGACTAATACTTACAGTGATAGAATAACAACTTGTAAACCAAGAAGTGTGTTTGTTTAGCTGTCAGAATTCCAGCCAGAAGCCAACTTGTGATGCTAAGGAAAAAATAGGATGACATTGGTCCTGGGAGGGTGATGAGACACGACCCCACTGGGCCGCCAGGTGAGGCAGACCAAAGCCTACTGCTCCCATCTCCTGTCTATGTCCTCTGTGGTTGGACAGGAATTCTAAGGACTATTGGAGAAGGAATAGGGAATAGGACTGATTCTGTTAGGAGAGATCCTGAAAAACCTGGACCAGCTGAATGTGGGTGGCACCATTAAGGAAGTTTCCTCCTACCTCAGCAAAGACTGCACTGGGCAGGAGCTCTCTGAGGTACAAAGACATCCTCCAAGAACTGTCCCCATGACTCTACCTGACCTGGCCATGGCACCTCCCAACTCCCAGTGCCTGAGTCTCTACCTTTAATGAAGACCACCCTTGAGCATCCCATCAGTGGACCTCCTGCTTCTCCCTAGCCTGCCTACTGTGGGCAATGCAGCCTTGCTCAGGTCCAATCCTAGCCTGTGAGCGAGCTCCTGCCCTTGACCCTGGCCCAGGCTTCCAGTTCCTGTCTTCATGTGGCCCACTCCCCGGACTGCAGACTGGGTCCAACCAATGAAGAATTTAAAGCCAGATTTTTCTGTGAAAATAAATACAAATGCAAAATTTACGCGGGTGTCTAAGATACAAGACCTCAGATATGATGGGTGCTATTCACGGTGCCTTTGAACAGTTCCTCAGCCCCTTTGGGATGCATTCATCCTTCCCTGCCATTAGAGTATCTCCAGCAGACAGGTCTGAGAAGCCCCACTCTGAGAAACATCACTATGAGGTGAAGGAGCCCGCATGTGAAGTCCTCCCTCAGAATCGGAGACAGTGCTCTTCAGAAGGCACGTGGAAATTCCATACAGTTCCAGATACCTGGCCTCCTAACTGAGCGCGAGGCCATGCCTTTATGCCCCCTTCCTAATCCGTGCAAAATGTCAGAGGAATAAAACCAGTTTTGTTTCTTAATGGGCTCATAAAATGTGCCAATTTTGTACAGACTGCTTTTTTCTATTTTTCTGTAAAGTTGTTTTCAGAAGCATTTAAAATTGTTTGTAGCATTCAACTTTATGTTGCTTGTTTTTCATTTCCAGAAAGATAGAGGCAGCTCTGGCTGATGCTGGGGAATCTGAGCTCAGAGGGCATGAGGCAGGGTCCAGGGACCTCCCGCTTCCACAAGATGCTTGTACTGCAGCCCCCGCGCCCTCAGCTCCATCCCCCTCCTTGCCCGTGTAGACACAGGAGAGCCTTTCTGAGCATGAGGCCGTCACTCTGGAAGCGTCTGAGGAGGACAGGGAGGGGCCTCCTTGTCCTGGACAAACAACAGCTGTGCCATTACCTGGCCTTTTTCTCTCTTCTCCTGCCCCGAGGGCTCAGGGTACATCTTGAGTGGGAAGAAATGCACCACAAGGGGTCCCTAATTTGAGATCTGATTGCAATAGTCTGGTTCCAGCCAGGCCAGTTGTAGGTCTAATTCAGTGAATTCTGGATTAAGTGAAGGATCTGACCCTTCCCAGACAGCCCCTCGAGCTCTGCCCCTCAAACATAAAATTTCCCAGAGACCGATCTTGGCATGTGTTTCCCAGAGAAGCTGGCAAATTTGGAGGATTATACTTCTGTATCTGTTTCTACTCTGGCAGCTAAGTAGCGTGTTGGTTAGGAGGCTCTTGTGCATTTATTAGAACTGTCACCCTAAGAGCGTGTTTGCAGGGTCCTGGCTCTGAGGTAAACACCCCCCCACCCCCCCACCGTTCAGTTGCACAGGGCTTATGTGTCCCTTTTGCCCTAAACCAGAGCCTTCTCTCGCACTGTATGCATGAGCCCTGACACCTAGCAGATGGAAATTCATCCCTGAGATGAAGAGAGATCATCTGCCACCTACCTCCCAGATGGCTTAGGAAGGGCAAAGAAAGATTCAGAGGAACTAAGCTAAGAAAGTGAGAACAAGGGAATCCAGTTGGGTTAATTCTAAGGGACACACCAGGGAGCTTCCTGGTATGGCCTGAATCACTGTATGGGACTCGGTATCAGGGAAAATAACCCATGCCTTCAAGGAGGAGAGGCTGAAGGACAAAGCTGTATGGCTGGCGGGGAGGGGAGCGGTGTGGGGGCTGAAGATGTGGGGTGAAGGTGGGGAGCTGGAGGGACCAAGCAGACTGGGGTTGAGGAGAAAACTGAGCAAGCCAGGCAGTGCTGACTCTACAAGGACCCGTGACTGTCCCGTGTTTATCGTGTCCTGCATTTTCTCCCACTTCAAGTAACTCCTCCACCTGGAGGAGAGCAGGGCGCGTGCACGCCCTTTTGCTCTCCCAGCCACCCCCAGGGAGAGGAGGAGAGGACAACTTGTTTGCAGGCATAAATTCTCATGTTTGAGTTTTAAAGATTTTTATTTATTTATTTGAGAGAGAGAATGAGATAGAGAGAGCATGAGGGGGGGAGGGTCAGAGGGAGAAGCAGACCCCCTGCTGAGCAGGGAGCCCGATGCGGGACTCGATCCCGGGACTCCAGGATCATGACCTGAGCCGAAGGCAGTCGCTTAACCGACTGAGCCACCCAGGCGCCCTCATGTTTGAGTTTTAAAACTCTGTTTCCTCACCCCCAAATTACATGTGGTGTGTTCATGGTGTGTGCCTTTGTGCTCTCTGAATTTGTGCTTTGTGCTCTCTGCCTTTCCAAAGCCAGGCTCTTCTCCAGAAATCCACTCTGGCAGGAGATCAAGGGAGGGCCCAATGCTCCCCAGCTAATGACAAAATTCCAAAGTGCAGCTTTCCCAGCATCACCCAGAAAGAACCCAGAATTGGCAATCTGGCTCTGACAACTGCAGCATATGTCCCCACACAGGCCGTGCACCTTGTCTGAGCAACAGCTCCGTCCCCGGCCGGCAGATGGTGCCTGGTCCGACTTGGCCTGGTGCGGGCAGATGGTGCCTGGTCCGACGTGCCACCCAGGCTCTTCTCTATTGTCGCGGGCAGGCTGCTCAGCGCAGCGCACCGCCAGCCCTCCCTGTGGCCCCGGAGCCACAGCCTTGCCCCTTGCCCCGGAGATGGGGTTGCGGTTTGCTTCATCTGACAGATTCCTCCCTGACAGGCAAGATGAAAGGCAGGAAATGTGCAGTTCCAGTTCCCACAGCAGGAGTGGTTTGGCCACACTGTATGGCATTTATGGTCCCGTCACGGGCTCTTGGAGGCCGACCTCAGGCCAGGGGGGCCGGTCTGGCGTTGCACACCCGGGGTGCTGCTCGCCCTGCCTGGATCCGCCCTTCACCACCGACTGACCACCGCCTTGCCCACTCTCCCCACAGCCTGCGACTGAAGCCATCTCCTCAAAAGGTCCCTCCCCCAGGGACCCCTACTGCCCAGAGGGCCCTGGCCCAGAGAGAGCCCACTTCCTCCCAGGCCACTCCCAGGCCCTGGTGGCCTGTTTCTGAGCCATTAAGTAGAGTTTTCCCGTTTCCCTGTGAACAGGTCTTCCAGGCAGAGGACTGGAAACCCCCGGTATTAAAAAAAAAAAAAAAAAAAAAGTGGCAGAAATAGACCCACTAAGACTCAAAGCAAAAGGAAAAAAAAAAAAGGCAAGGCCTTGCTGTGTTCTCTGAGTGACCACTGGCCCTTCCTGCGATCACCCTGGCCGGCCAGATGAGTCTTCTATAGACACACCATCTTTCCCACAAGACATAAGTAAGCATCGCTTCCACCCACACTCAGGATGTTAGAGCATTGGAAGAATGATTTGTTCTCAACCAGAAAAAGAACCTGCAGGAAGAATTCCATTTCTCTTCCTCCAGGTGTGTGCCACGTGGCTGTGTTCTGGGGGTAGTGGGGACCCTAAGTGGCCGTTTCCTGGCTTTGGTGCAGTTAAACCAAACCCTCCATCATTCGGCTGCAGGAAGAGCGTGTGCGCATTTTATTTCCTCGGGGATGATTTTTTTAAAGTGGCTCGAACGCACCTGATCACATTCAGATGTGTTCCACAGAAAACAGGCAATTGGAAAGTGCAGTAAAGCCCGCTCTCTTGTTCAACAGAAGCCACTAAAGACAGGTACTCAGGGACAATAATGTCCTTTGGTGCCTTTGTCTGGGGCAGCTCATTAAGGTAGAGACCACCTGAGCGCTGACAGGACAACCCCTGCCCGTGTGTTCCAGGAGAACATAATTGACTACAAAACCTTTTTTCGATGTCACCACTGCCAGATACAAACCCAATTAGCAGCAGAGTTAACTCAGATGAATCCTGGGAACAAGGAAACCGCACGTTCTACAGCTAATCAGACCCCTGGAATGATGACACATCGGGATGTTGCCAGGAAGGTGGGATCCTGGGGACCGCAGGGGGCTGGACTCTCGCAGAGTGCACATGTTCACGGATGGCCCAGCCTCCCGTGCTGGATGGATTCTGCAGCCTTCGGGGACTAACAGTCAGAGCCTGGCTTCTGTCTGCTCAAGGTCCCTGCGTGTGGGAACATCACACTTTTATTCTGAGGCCAGAGATACTCAAAAGAAGTCACCCAGGTCTTAATTCAAGTACGGCCCACGACCCCCTCCACATCTCTGGATGGATTTAAGAAACCTTTTGTTTCTTGTTATTTGAAACTTCTCCCAAGGGCTAAGGAATCATACATTCCGACTCCACTGAGTAAAAGCAAACAAGTCATTTCAAGGCACAAAGGGATGCTCTGGCCCACCCCAGCCTCGGTTTAAATAGGGAGCATTGCCAGGCAGGTGTTTAAAGGATAGGCAGAGAGAAAACCACCAATGCAAGAGAGCAAGCCCATGAAATACTCGCCTGGTTTTCTCATTGTTATTATAATGGGATCATGGTGATTACTAACATGGCAGGGTAGACCATAATACCGGATTGTAACTCTAGGCTCTGGGCACCTGGCTTTTAGTAATGAAAATCCCATTTAGAAGTACCTTGTGACTTAAGCAGCTGAGCTTGAATCAATCAGTCAAAAGCCACACGGGAGGCTATAAGGGGGCTCCTCAGGATGGCATGCTTCTCGTTGTTTCGGGTGCCCTCAGCAGTCCATAGGACACGTTACTCCTCAGTCTGCTCGGCTGATTGTTGGGGAAAAGCCCGTGGGTAGAGGAAGCCCAGCTCTCAGTGTTGGATGGCAGGACTGGTGCTCGATTTGAAGGCTTTTCTCCTTCCCCTTTGCCATGTCCTGTGCTCGGTTGGTCTAGCAGAAGGGGTCTACTCTGGCCTGGGGCAGGCAGAAAGCATTTGGAAAGGAGTAGGATGGAAGTCTCTGGACTCAGAGCTCCAGAGCCCTGGGGAATCAGCCCGAGCTCTCACCTGTAAGCAGCAGAAACCAACTCTGGCTGATTTAAGCAGAAGCGGGTGTGTTGAATGGCGATGTGAGGGCTCAGAATTTCAGGGAGGACTGCAGAGTGAACCGAGCAAAACAGAGGCATGAGGTTCTGCCCAGCCAGGCCCACAGGCAGCCCCAGAAGCCCAGTCCTCCGGGGACCGGGCAACCCCACCGGGGATGGCTGGACATTGCAGACCCTGCAGGGACCACTGGGGCTGAGGCTGGCCACGGGGCCTGGAACAGTTGCCTTTGAGCCCGTGCAGGCCCAGGACTCCCCTCCCCCTCACAGTCCCCCTTCCCCCCCATGGTCCTGCCCCCTCACAGCTCTGGCTCCTCACTCAAGCCCGTGGGTAATACACAGCCACACGCCTGAGTTTGATGCAGATTCTTCCAGTTTTCAAAAGGGAGACTACTGACTGCTTTTTTTATCGTCCATGGGCTATAATGAAGATGAAAGGAGACAATGTCCCAACCTCAGAGGTTTTCCCCTCCTGTCCTATACCCCATTGGCTTTGGTCCAGACTTGACATTCTACTTGGTGGCTATCCAGACTGCTGCCATTTCTGTATTTCTCCTCAGACTCTCCAAGGGGGGTGGGGTGTGAGGCAACACCAAATGTGCCATTCCTCTGGAGAAAGGGGGGGACAGGGTAGAACTAGCAGTTAACTAAGTGGCCAAGGCCAAGGTGAGAATTGGTTAGAAAACGCTAAGCACCTGTCAAAACTCCCAGGCCCAGCAGGTGAAACAGCTTCAGCTGGGGTCTGAGGCTCCCACGAGGAGCAGGAGAACCTCTCCAGCCAAGGAGACGGTCTCAGATGCAGGGTGGGGCGGTGGAGGCCAGGCAGAGTTCCCCCTCCGACAAGGTAGGAGGGAAACGGGGCGGGCTGGGGGATGCTGGGAGATGTTGAAAGATTGGAACCAGACTTGTCTGTTTATCTTCTCCCCAGCTCTGCAGCCGGTCTGCAGTTAGGATAAATGCAGCGCAGGAGGAAAAGACAGCATTTCCTCCCCCTCTCTCCTCCCATTTTAGGTGAGAGGAGGAGGTGGTATGGGGGATAGAGAAAGATCTGGCAAGCTCACCAGCTGGTGCTGCGGCTGGGCTGGACAGAGTGAGCTTATTCTGCGCCCCCACAGAGAGGAGCCCTCTCTCTTGTATCCTTGTCCCCAACGCCTTGGAAATGGGATGGTCTCAGGCGTGGGGGGACTAGGTAGCCCCCTACACGGTATGATCCAAGGGTCCCCGCAGTCAGGATGCCCCAAGCAGAGCCCCATGAACCCGGCTCAGGGCATGCAGCCCCTTGTGGGGGCCACGTTTCTGGAGGACGGTTTTGCTTTCAGAAGGGCCCAGGTGAAATGCAGTCATGTTGCCTGAGAACAGTAACATATAAACAGTTCAATCCCCTCCATAGGGCTGGTCATCAGATTACTGAGGGCTGGGCTGTCCAGTTCTAAGGGTGGGAGCCAGAGAGACTGATGCTAGTGAGGGGGTGTGCGGAGGGCATGCAGGGGTGGGTGCTCTGCACATGGGGGGTCACACGAGGCTCCTGGGCGACAAGGGGCACCAGAAGATTAGAATGAGTGGGGAGTGAGGGACTGGCCACTGGGAGAATCAACAGCAGGCTGCCTGACCCCACCTCTCTATAACACGGGGAAGAAGCTGGAAAGCTTTGGATCCAGCTTTCCAAAGCCCTGTTAAAACCTCTCACAGGAGCCTGGGTCTGGACAAAAGGCCCAGACGCCTCCTGGGCTGTGTGTTGGCCATGGAG